ATTACATATATGTAGAGTGAAATACATTACCCATTCAAATTCCTATTTATTATAGTGTGAACACCAGCCTCAGTGTATTATAAGCATGTCACGAACCATTTACAGTAAAACACTTGTTATTAGGTTGCATTGACCTTTAGCTAGCAAGAGAAGAAAAGTTTTATAATAATAGATGTCAAATCTCTTTTTTAAAGTAAACAGTAAATATCTCTACAATTTTAACCTACATATTGTAGCTACAAGCTAAGACTGTTGGTCTATAACTAACCATAGCCACTTTAACTTGTCAAAAGTTAATGTTTGTCTTTTACTCTTTCATTCGTTTTGGCCCTGATATAATGACCTCTTTGTGTTCATGGGCCGTTAAGAATAATTTGGTAACTACAGTGTTATATATATACAAACACAGTAGTAATAATAATAATTGTAATAATTTGAGGTTCTTATATACCGCTTCATCACAACCTAGTTCGTAGGTCATCTCAAAGCGGTTCACACATTATTATCTGTGGTAATTATAGGGCCTTTGCATCCAGTCAATATCTTTCTCAACTTTCTGGGGAGCATATATGCATACAGCTGGTGCTTTTTCATCAGAAATACAGTATTATAGTGGATTAAACATACAGGATGTCAGAATACTCAGGGTTTGGATTAGACAGAGTTACTTTATAAACAATATGTACATTAATGTACATTAAGTCTTTTAGTCTTAAATGTGAATTTTTATGTTACATAGATGTACATGTTTAACGTTCAGTTCAATTATTGTTAATTGAATATGTAACATGTGTTATACACATTGAAAGTAAATACCTGTGTAGAATGTAAAGCTATATCGGTACGGTTGGCAGAATACATGTGTATGTGCGATGTGTATGTATATGTATGTCTGAGGAGGAGGAGGGGGGAGGTTGAGCGAGTCGGTAAGCATAAATATGTAAATATAGTGAGGTTGTGATCTCATCTGAGAGATTATGGCTGACAGCTCCCTTTAATCCCCATGGCTGACACCTCCCTATAATCCCCATGGCTGACAGCTCCAGGATGTAGCATTGTTATTGTATACACAGTATAAGCTTTACCCTAAACCACATCTCCTCACCTGTGTGGGAGGGCTGACATAGCTATTTGTCGGGCAATTCCAAGGAAACCTGTGCCGGCTGCACTATCTCCCCAGTAGTCTTGTTGTCCATCAGAGTATTGCTTGTCAACATTGCATGTATTGTTTGTAAGTACTGCATGAAATTCCAACTTTGCTAGCTGATTTTACACTAACTGTGTTATAATGTTCACAAACTATAGATAGATTAACACATTAACAATACATATAAATGTAATGCAGACACTTCATGAATTCAAATGTACACACCAAAACAGCTATATGTACAACAATGATGTCAGGCAGTGTCATTGTTATATGTATATTAAAGTACAATGTCCATATATGGAGATTCTCTATTCAGTAAAAAACAATACAAAAGAACAATAACATCCCATGAAGTATATAGGGGTGGAATATTAACCACTGGTCTGTGGCCAGTGGTTTTCTTAGCGGACCAGTAGGTTTTTCATCAAGCTATCCCGACGGGCCGGAAGATATTTTGTAAATTTATCTAAAACTTCAGCAGATTTTAAAAGATTATTATAAGCCCAGAATGCTTCACAGAGCTTTTAGATTTCAAACCTTCTGGGACACGCCCCCACTCTACTCCGGCCCTAATTTAGATTATTTTATTCTAGAAAATTTATCGATATACTGCTGACCTCCCTCCATCTAACGTCATATATTAAGATTTTTTTTGAACAGTGTCATAATATTTATCCAATGTTGTGACTTGATATATATCTAGATCACATTGTACAGATGGTTGTTGCTATGGGCTATTATAAGCTAGATGATATCTGCTTTTGACAGAGATAGCACACCTTAATATATAGTACAGAAATGAATAGAGTGGGATCAGGTTATATTATGCAGGTTATAGACATGAAAGCTCAAAGTCCACTCTTGATCTGCTCGAGAGACTGCAACCCTATCAAATGCAAGCAATATATCCTTTCTTTCAAAGTGACCACCAGGCATGTACCTGCCTATGTGCATGTTATTCAAGTGAATCCACCAAATTTTCAAACAGAAAAGTAGCTATAGGTGGACAAGGAGATGCAGGCTACCAAGCGGGCCCCTGCCCTGAACCCACCCCTACAAGTAGATGAATCCACTCCAAACAAGGTGCTAGCTACATATATACCTTCCTGACATTTTTTGAGTCTTCAATTAGTTGGTCTCTAAATACAGATGGGGCTGTATAGTTGTACACTAATATAATGTATTTGGTTATTTGATACATTAGAGTTTCCAATGCTCAGGCCAGTCCATCATCAAGTGAAAGATCCTTTGCCAGATGTTTTGGCCCTTTTCTATGGTGACCTCCGGACGTGTGCTGTTCTGTTGGTCATGCCCTGCCCTGTTAATTGTGGTCAGCTGTCACTACTGCTAACATGTCTGTTGCCTCCTCCAGATCCTGCAGCATGTTTTGCACTTTTGCTGGTGACCATCTGACACCTCCTCCGGCTTTCTTCATCATTCAGCGTGATGCCTGCACATGATTGGTGCTCCAATCTGCATTTGTTTTTCGCTCCTACCATTGGGTGACGCCCGGCAAAACAAAGCTTCTCCACATTGATTGACCAGAGAAAATCTTGTATCCAATATCTCTACTGGTAGACACCATGCCTTCCAACCTTGCTGATGGCAGTCTTCCACCAGCTACTGGTACTTCTTTCTCTTTCTCCCTTGCACCTCATCTCTTCTATCCTTGACTCCCATGGCACCATCAGGAATTGCTTAAGCTTAGAGATTCAGTACCTCAGCATCCAGTACCTCAGCATCATATGTGGGCAGATTACCAGTGATTTAAAAGCAACCCTTTCTCAGATGAATGTCTGCCATGATTTTCCAGTACTTTGCTGTAACCAGACATATTCCACCTCACTCCATGCCACTCTAGCTGCCCTTCAATACCTGTCTTCACAAAGTTAACAGAGTTTAGTCCTTTCGTGACTGATCTTAATCCTGGCATTTGTATAAGATATTAATTGCTTAAGTGATGTTTTATGTTTATAAATGTGATATGAAAGTACATGTATTTAAGTATTATTTGTTCATATTTTATGTTGTATTAAAATTTAGAAATACCGTTGTACCATTTACACAGATAGTAAGGCACATGTACTTGAAAGCTTCCTTTCATACAGAGATTTACAGTTAATACTTGAACAGCTTCCTTTAGCTTTGATACAGGGTTCTGGTACTTGAACAATTTTATTTGATACAAGGCACACACATACTTGAACGGCTTTCTTTATACTTTATGTTGACAATATATAACCATGCCTGGGCACAGATACACTAAAATCAGGTTACAGATCTAGAGGGTAGTTCTAGGTAACATAGCAACAAACATGAAGACAGGTTCTACATTTTATGGTCCTGGCATCTACTTATATTGTACCAAGTCTCCCTGGTTCGAGGGAGCTCGTAATGGCAATAATTCACCTTTAATATCATAAATGTGAACTTTCACCATAAAATTAATTGTGATTCATTCGGCTGGATTCTAGGCAAATTACTGACTGCTTTTCTTTACATTTTCATTGGCTGAGAAAAATGGACATGTTTTGTTTAGGAATTAATGGATCAGGCTAAGTGGTTGACACTCTGGCCATTGCCTTCCGTGCAGACTACTAGGGTTCAGCACCTGAAGGAGTTAGCATAGCATAGATTTTCAGAATCAACTACAATAGCCCAATACAGGTGGTGTATACATTGTCTAGGGTGGGAACCCCCGGTGCTAGTCTGTGTTGCAACATTCAAGTGAGTGGCTCTGCTTCTAAAGCAAAACGATACAATTAAAAGCCTCAAACACTCGCACAGGCATGCACAGTTGCAAGGAGGTAGTAGCCAGGTGGCATATGACCAAAAGTTAGTGCCTGCAGATAATGCATCTTCTGCAAATTTTTTGTATTGACTGTATTAATTATAAGAATTGTATATCAGTAGGTATGTAATAATACTATCATCTGTCAGGAAACTTACTCTTACTTATTAAACTTGATGACATGAATCTCTTGTTGATAAGATGACAATATTGATCAATTAGGGATTTAGAAGAACAAATGGAGAAAAGAAGAAAATATAAAACCATTAAAGTGATTTAAAGTTTTGTCATTTTGCAGCTTCAAACATTTTTCCACTTTCAGAAATTTCACATACCAATGTACATGTATGCAACACTAGGAGTTTAACAATTTTCAAGGTCAAGATCAAGGTCACTTAATAAAAATAGAATGAGATATATTGTCAAATATACCTTGCTTGTATAGCTTCATCCGACTAATAATTGTTCGATTCAGTGGTAAATGGTACATTTAGGATATTGTGACATCAGATATTCTCGTTTAGCCAAAATTTTGTGGTTTCCCGACAAAACACCATTTCATGGGTACATGAATTCATGGATTAAGAATGCCCTCTCAAGCAGAGAATTGCTTTATATCAAACTTGTAATAACTCTACAGACCTTTATCAATATATGAATGAAGATTTCCTATGAAATCAATGAAATTTAAAAAAGCACACAAATATTAGTGATTTCACAGCATGAGACATAAGCATGGATAATGCCATATTACTCGGATCAGGAAAGATAATTCATGGTTCACTAGCATGTCAGTTTTCTAGTTATCAGTCGTAAACACTGACATTTCTTTGAATTATATACATTTATTTATTGTAATGGTCTAGAAATCCAATATACAAAGATAGATATTAAGTCAAGTATGGGATCTGTTGTTATTACAATTGTATATCACTATCTGATACCTATGAGTTTGAGGTCCCTTACAACTCTGTAATGAAATTGGTCTGTGGTAGGTTTATATCATCGAAATTCTGATTTAGAGTAAATATATATCAGTGATTGTTGTCTTATTTACAGATCTAGATCAGCTAAATAGCGACGGTTCAGTATGACAGACTACAACGCTCCAGCACCTGGTCAGTATAATGTGACCACCGAGACCACAACAAGCGCAAGTGTTGGACCTGCAGAACAACCTTCCATCGGACTGGATAGGGAATGGGTAAAGAGCTTGCCATCCTACCTCAAGATCGCAGAAATGGTGAGTAACTTGTATGGGCCAGTTGTTGTAAGTCCTGTGCAATAATACAGTTTGATGTATCAGTTACTGTAAGCCCTGCATGATTCTACAATGTATCAGTTACTGTAAGCCCTGTGTAATTATACAATGTATCAGTTACTGTAAGCCCTGTGTGATTATACACTGTATCAGTTACTGTAAGCCCTGTGTGATTATACAATGTATCAGTTACTATAAACCCTGTGTGATTATACAATGTATCAGTTACTATTACCCCTGTGTGATTATACAATGTATCAGTTACTATAAGCCCTGTGTGATTATACAATGTATCAGTTACTGTAAGCCCTGTGTAATTATACAATGTATCAGTTACTGTAAGCCCTGCATGATCATACAATCTATCAGTTACTGTTAACCCTGTGTGATTATACAATATATCAGTTACTGTTAACCCTGTGTGATTATACAATGTATCAGTTACTATTAACCCTGTGTGATTATACAATGTATCAGTTACTATTAACCCTGTGTGATTATACAATGTATCAGTTACTGTAAGCTCTCTGTGATTATACAATGTATCAGTTACTGTAAGCTCTCTGTGATTATACAACGTATCAGTTACTGTAAGCCCTGCATGATCATACAATCTATCAGTTACTGTTAACCCTGTGAGATTATACAATGTATCAGTTACTGTAAGCCCTGTGAGATTATACAATGTATCAGTTACTATTAACCCTGTGTGATTATACAATGTATCAGTTACGGTAAGCCCTGTGTGAATATACAGTGTATCAGTTACTGGAAGCCCTGTGTAATTATACAATGTATCAGTTACTGTAAGCCCTGCGTGATTATACAATGTATCAGTTACTGTAAGCTCTCTGTGATTATACAATGTATCAGTTACTGTAAGTCCTGCATGATTATACAATGTATCAGTTACTGTAAGCCCTGCGTGATTATACAATGTATCAGTTACTGTAAGCTCTCTGTGATTATACAATGTATCAGTTACTGTAAGCCCTGCATGATCATACAATCTATCAGTTACTGTTAACCCTGTGTGATTATACAATGTATCAGTTACTGTACGCTCTCTGTGATTATACAATGTATCAGGTACTGTAAGCCCTGCATGATTATACAATGTATCAGTTACTTTTAACCCAGTGTGACTATACAATGTATCAGTTACTGTAAGCCGTGTGTGATTATACAATGTATCAGTTACTGTACGCTCTCTGTGATTATACAATGTATCAGATACTGTAAGCCCTGCATGATTATACAATGTATCAGTTACTTTTAACCCAGTGTGACTATACAATGTATCAGTTACTGTAAGCCCGGCATGATTATACAATGTATCAGTTACTGTAAGCCCTGTGTGATTATACAATGTATCAGTTAATGTAAGCCCTGTGTGATTATACAATGTATCAGTTTCTGTTAACCCTGTGTGCTTATTCGATGTATCAGTTACTGTATTACTGTAAGCCCTGTGTGATTATACAGTGTATCACTTACTGTAAGCCCTGTGTGATTACACAATGTATTAGTTACTGTAAGACCTGTGTGATTATACAATGTATCAGTTACTGTAAGCCCAGAATGATTATACAATGAATCAGTTACTGTAAGCCCTGCGTGATTATACAATGTATCAGTTACTGTAAGCTCTCTGTGATTATACAATATATCAGTTACTGTAAGCCCTGTGTGATTATACAGTGTATCAGCTACTGTAAGCCCTGTGTGATTATACAATGTATCTTCAATGTATCAGTTACTGTATTACTGTAAGCCCTGTGTGATTATACAATGTATCTTCAATGTATCAGTTACTGTATTACTGTAAGCCCTGTATGATTATACAGTGTATCACTTACTGTAAGCCCTGTGTGATTACACAATGTATTAGTTACTGTAAGACCTGTGTGATTATACAATGTATCAGTTACTGTAAGCCCTGCGTGATTATACAATGTATCAGTTACTGTAAGCTCTCTGTGATTATACAATATATCAGTTACTGTAAGCCCTGTGTGATTATACAGTGTATCACTTACTGTAAGCCCTGTGTGATTACACAATGTATTAGTTACTGTAAGACCTGTGTGATTATACAATGTATCAGTTACTGTAAGGCCTGTGTGATTATACAATGTATCAGTTACTGTAAGCTCTCTGTGATTATACAATGTATCAGATACTGTTAACCCTGTGTGATTATACAATGTATCAGTTACTGTAAGCTCTCTGTGATTATACAATGTATCAGTTACTGTAAGCCCTGTGTGATTATACAATGTATCAGTTACTGTAAGCCCAGCATGATTATACAATGAATCAGTTACTGTAAGCCCTGCATGATTATACAATGTATCAGTTACTGTAAGCACTGTGTGATAATACAATGTATCAGTTACTGTAAGCCCTGTGTGATAATACAATGTATCAGTTACTGTAAGCCCTGTGTGCTTATACAGTGTATAAGTTACTGTAAGCCCTGTGTAATTATACAATGTATCAGTTACTGTAAGCTCTGTGTGCTTATTCAATGTATCAGTTACTGTATTACTGTAAGCCCTGTGTGATTATACAGGGTATCAGTTACTGTAAGCCCTGTGTGATTATACAATGTATCAGTTACTGTAAGCCCTGTGTGCTTATACAGTGTATCAGTTACTGTAAGCCCTGTGTAATTATACAATGTATCAGTTACTGTAAGCTCTGTGTGATTCTACAGTTTATCAGTTAATGTAAGCTCTGGGTAATTATACAATGTATCAGTTACTGTAAGCCCTGCATGATTTTACAATGTATCAGTTACTGTAAGCTCTGTGTGATTATACAATCTATCAGTTACTGTTAGCTCTGTGTAATTATACAATCTATCAGTTACTGTAAGCTCTGTGTAATTATACAATGTATCAGTTACTGTAAGCCCTGCATGATTTTACAACGTATCAGTTACTGCAAGCCCTGTGTGATTATACAATGTATCAGTTACTGTAAGCTCTCTGTGATCATACAATGTATTAGTTACTGTAAGCCCTGTGTGATTATGCAGTGTATCAGTTACTTTAAGCTCTGTGTGCTTATTCAATGTATCAGTTACTGTAAGCCCTGTATGATTTTACAACGTATCAGTTACTGTAAGCTCTGTGTAATTATACAGTGTATCAGTTACTGTAAGCCCTGTGTAATTATACAATGTATCAGGTACTGTAAGCTCTCTGTGATTATACAATGTATTAGTTACCTCTGTGATTATACAATGTATCAGTTACTGCAAGCCCTGTGTGATTATACAATGTATCTTCAATGTATCAGTTACTGTATTACTGTAAGCCCTGTGTGATTATACAGTGTATCAGCTACTGTAAGCCCTGTGTGATTATACAATGTATCAGTTACTGTAAGCTCTGTGTGATTATACAATGTATCATTTACTGTTAACCCTGTGTGATTATACAATGTATTAGTTACTGTAAACTCTGTGTGCTTATTCAATGTATCTGTTACTGTAAGCCCTGTGTGATTATACAATGTATCAGTTACTGTAAGCTCTGTGTGCTTATTCAATGTATCAGTTACTGTAAGCCCTGTGTGATAATACAATGTATCAGGTACTGTAAGCCCTGTGTGATTATACAATGTATCAGTTACTGTAAGCTCTCTGTGCTTATTCAATGTATCAGTTACTGTATTACTGTAAGCCCTGTGTGATTATACACTGTATCAGTTACTGTAAGCCCTGTGTGATTATACAGTGTATCAGTTACTGTAAGCCCTGTGTGATTATACAATGTATCAGTTACTATAAGCCCTGTGTGATTATACAATGTATCAGTTACTGTAAGCCCTGTGTGATTATACAATGTATTAGTTACTGTAAGCCCAGTATAAACATCAATCTATATATAACAATCAGTAGAATCACATAATGGTTTAAGTGGGATTAATGGTTTAATGACAGTATTTTATCAATTATGACTATATATAACAAAATTTATAGATTGTTTTGATTAATTAAACAAGTCTTCTTGTGTTGTATATATATTTAAGAACACTATCACGTATAGATTTGTTTTCAGTATTGTTTAACAAAGTGCTTCCTAAAAGAGGTATTTTAGAATCAAGACTAACCAGACACACTTCAAAACTACATTGGACACTGTAAAAGATAACGGATAGCAGTTTCATAATCATCACCACACAGACAAGATGGAGACTCTTTCAAGTGATCTTTGAACATATAATAGTTCAGGTTACTCGCCTCATTTCTCAGTTGACATAAGATTATGTAACCCTTTCTGCTTTCACAATTTTTAAATACATCAGAGATATCATTATTAAAACATATTTCATTATATACCTTGGCCTTAAATTTATTTAGAGTAGGGGAATGTACTGTATCATTTTCAAGTCCATTGAACCTGTTACACATTACTTGGAAGAAGCTCTTAGCATAGCTAGGATTCTGTACGACATAGTGGTGGGTTAAACATTCTTAAATTTCTTAGAGTATACCTATCATTTTCTGGGATATGAATAAGAGGATCGATTATGTCATGGAGGTATGAGGATGATAAATTGTAAGTTATTTTATACATCTGAATTAGCTTATGGTTCATCCTTCAATGAGACAGAGATTCCCAGCCTAGTTTTTTTTTTTTATATATATATAGAGAGTTTGGTGTAATGTACCTTTCCTTAGACCTGTGATAATCCTTGCAGCTTCTAGATGTACAGATTCTAATACATTTTTAAGATTGGCAGAGCAGTTGTCCCAGACAATATCTGCATATTCAAGCATTGGACGGATAAATGTTGTATATATTTTGCATAGTGATTTCCTATCAATCTTATATTTCAGATACCTAATTATATAAGCATGTTTATTCTTTTACTATCCTTTTCATATATGGGGTGAAAGATTTACACATAGAACACTGGCAATACATCTTACACATATACTACATTTTCAAAATCTTCAAGCTGAATTGCCTCATTTAATTTTTTATATTTTGTTGTTGTATCCCTTACTTATTTATCACTCCTACCAATGATATATATTGATACTAAATGGTTCTATACTTTTAACTACTTCATGTAACAGCAGCAGGGTATGAACATAGGGGCATTAATGACTTGCAAAAAAATAAAAATAAAATTGTAGCAATTGTAAGTCCTGTGTAATGATATGTTAGTTACTGTAAGCCCTGTGTAGTAATATGTTAGATACTGTAAGCCACACAGATATAAGTTACTTTAAGTCCTGCGTAATGATATGTTAGATACTGTAATCCACACAGATATAAGTTACTTTAAGTTCTGTGTAATGATATGTTAGATACTGTGAGCCCTATGTAACGATATGTTAGATACTGTAAGCCACGCAGATATAAGTTACTTTAAGTCCTGGGTAATGATATGTTAGATACTGTAAGTATGTGTAATAATATGTTAGTTACTGTAAGCCCTTAGTTACTGTAAGCCCTGTGTAATAATATGCTAGATACTGTAACCCCTGTGTAATGATATGTTAGATAATGTAAGCCCTGTGTAATGATATGTTAAATACTGTAAGCCCTGTGTAATGATATGTTAGATAATGTAAGCCCTGTGTAATGATATGATAGTTACTGTAAGCCCTGTGTAATAATATGGTGTAATGATATGTTAGATACTGTGAGCCCTATGTAACGATATGTTAGATACTGTAAGCCACGCAGATATAAGTTACTTTAAGTCCTGCGTAATGATATGTTAGATACTGTAAGTATGTGTAATAATATGTTAGTTACTATAAGTCCTGTGTAATGATATGTTAGATGCTGTAAGCCCTATGTAATTTACTGTTAACCCTGTGTGATTATACAATGTAGCAGTTACTGTTAACCCTGTGTGATTATACAATGTATCAGTTACTGTAAGCTCTGTTTAATTATACAATGTATCAGTTACTGTAAGCTCTGTTTAATTATACAATGTATCAGTTACTGTAAGCTCTGTTTAATTATACAATGTATCAGTTACTGTAAGCTCTGTTTAATTATACAATGTATCAGTTACTGTTAACCCAGTGTGACTATACAATGTATCAGTTACTGTAAGCTCTGTTTAATTATACAATGTATCAGTTACTGTAAGCTCTGTTTAATTATACAATGTATCAGTTACTGTTAACCCTGTGTGATTATACAATGTAGCAGTTACTGTTAACCCTGTGTGATTATACAATGTATCAGTTTCTGTAAGCCCTGTGTGATTATACAATGTATCAGTTTCTGTAAGCCCTGTGTGATTATACAGTGTATCAGTTACTTTAAGCTCTGTGTGCTTATTCAATGTATCAGTTACTGTAAGCCCTGTGTAATAATATGCTAGATACTGTAACCCCTGTGTAATAATATGTTAGATACTGTAAGCCACGCAGATATAAGTTACTTTAAGTCCTGTGTAAGGATATGTTAGATACTGTAAGCCCTAATACATGATATGTTAGATACTGTAAGCCGCATGTTAGTTACTGTAAGTCCTGTGTAATGATACCTTAGTTACTGTAAGCCCTGTGTAATTATACAATGTATCAGTTACTGTAAGCTCTGTTTAATTATACAATGTATCAGTTACTGTAAGCCCTGTGTGATTATACAGTGTATCAGTTACTGTAAGCCCTGCATGATTATACAATGTATCAGTTACTGTTAACACTGTGTGATTATACAATGTATCAGTTTCTGTAAGCCCTGTGTGATTATACAATGTATCAGTTTCTGTAAGCCCTGTGTGATTATACACTGTATCAGTTACTGTAAGCCCTGTGTGATTATACAATGTATCAGTTACTATAAGCCCTGTGTGATTATACAATGTATCAGTTACTGTAAGCCCTGTGTGATTATACAATGTATCAGTTTCTGTAAGCCCTGTGTGATTATACACTGTATCAGTTACTGTAAGCCCTGCATGATTATACAATGTATCAGTTACTGTAAGCCCTGCATGATTATACAATGTATCAGTTACTATAAGCCCTGTGTGATTATACAATGTATCAGTTTCTGTAAGCCCTGTGTGATTATACAATGTATCAGTTTCTGTAAGCCCTGTGTGATTATACACTGTATCAGTTACTGTAAGCCCTGCATGATTATACAATGTATCAGTTACTGTTAACACTGTGTGATTATACAATGTATCAGTTACTGTTAACCCAGTGTGACTATACAATGTATCAGTTACTGTAAGCCCTGTGTGATTATACAGTGTATCAGTTACTTTAAGCTCTGTGTGCTTATTCAATGTATCAGTTACTGTAAGCCCTGTGTAATTATACAATGTATCAGTTACTGTAAGCCCTGCATGATTATACAATGTATCAGTTACTATAAGCCCTGTGTGATTATACAATGTATCAGTTTCTGTAAGCCCTGTGTGATTATACACTGTATCAGTTACTGTAAGCCCTGTGTGATTATACAATGTATCAGTTTCTGTAAGCCCTGTGTGATTATACAATGTATCAGTTACTGTTAACACTGTGTGATTATACAATGTATCAGTTACTGTAAGCCCTGCATGATTTTACAATGTATCAGTTACTGTAAGCTCTGTGTAATTATACAGTGTATCAGTTACTGTTAACCCTGTGTGATTATACAATGTAGCAGTTACTGTTAACCCTGTGTGATTATACAATGTATCAGTTACTATAAGCCCTGTGTGATTATACAATGTATCAGTTACTGTTAACCCTGTGTGATTATACAATGTAGCAGTTACTGTTAACCCTGTGTGATTATACAATGTAGCAGTTACTGTTAACCCTGTGTGATTATACAATGTATCAGTTTCTGTAAGCCCTGTGTGATTATACAGTGTATCAGTTACTGTTAACCCTGTGTGATTATACAATGTATCAGTTTCTGTAAGCCCTGTGTGATTATACAATGTATCAGTTACTATAAGCCCTGTGTGATTATACAATGTATCAGTTACTGTAAGCCCTGTGTAATAATATGCTAGATACTGTAACCCCTGTGTAATAATATGTTAGATACTGTACAGATATAAGTTACTTTAAGTCCTGCGTAATGATATGTTAGATACTGTAATCCACACAGATGTAAGTTACTTTAAGTCCTGTGTAATGAGATGTTAGATACTGTAAGCCCTGTGTAATGGTATGTTTGTTACTGTAAGCCCTGTGTAATGATATGTTAGATACTGTAAGCCCTATGTAATGATATGTTAGATACTGTAAGCCACACAGATGTAAGTTACTTTAATCCTGTGTAATGATATGTTAGATACTGTAAGCCCTGTGTAATGATATGTTGATACTGTAAGTCTGTGTAATAATATGAAAGATACTGTAAGCCCTGTGTAATAATATGTTAGAATGATATGTTACATACTGTAAGCCCTGTGTAATGATATGTTGATACTGTAAGTCTGTGTAATAATATGTTCGTTACTGTAAGTCCTGTGTAATGATATGTTAGTTACTGTAAGCCCTGTGTAATGATATGTTGATACTGTAAGTCTGTGTAATAATATGTTCGTTACTGTAAGTCCTGTGTAATGATATGTTAGATACTGTAAACCCTGTGTAATGATATGTTAGTAACTGTAAGCCCTGTGTAATAATATGCTAGAAACGGTAAGCCCTGTGTAATGATATGTAAGATACTGTAAGCCCTGTGTAATGATATGTTCCATACTGTAAGTCCTGTGTAATGATATGTTAGTTACTGTAAGTCTGTGTAATGATATGTTAGATACTGTAAACCCTGTGTAATGATATGTTAGATACTGTAAGTCTGTGTAATAATATGTTCGTTACTGTAAGTCCTGTGTAATGATATGTTAGATACTGTAAGTCTGTGTAATAATATGAAAGATACTGTAAGCCCTGTGTAATAATATGTTAGATACTGTAAGCCACACAGATATAAGTTACTTTAAGTCATGTGTAATGATATGTTAGTAACTGTAAGCCCTGTGTAATAATATGTTAGAAACGGTAAGCCCTGTGTAATGATATGTAAGATACTGTAAGCCCTGTGTAATGATATGTTTGTTACTGTAAGCCCTGTGTAATAATATGTTAGATACTGTAACCCCTGTATAATGATATGTTAGTTACTGTAAGCCCTGTGTAATAATATGTTAGATACTGTAAGCCCTGTGTAATGATATGTTAGTTACTGTAAGCCCTGTGTAATGATATGTTAGATACTGTAAGCCCTGTGTAATGATATATTGTGTAATTATTGGATACCATGATACTGTACGTAAGCCCTGTATGCCTGTTGGTCTGTGTTACAGGTGTTAGATCTGATCCTGTTCATATGTGCTAGTGCCAATATCTACTTCTCCAACTCTGGAGGGGGCTGGGTCCAGTTCGTGGCTATCTCTGCCCTTATCACCACACTGCTCTTCTTCCTCTTCCATCTACTCAGAGTCATTGGCAGACTGCCTGGACCCTGGGGTTTGATTGTAAGTATATTACTCTAAGCTAGGTCCCAAGGATTTGATTGTTACAGGGTTCTCTAAAGGGAGTAATAAAGAAAAAACTGAACCATTTTAAAATTAGTTACAATGTAATTAAGCCTGCTATTGCTTTTTGTCAATGCTTTCAAAAGAAAACAGGCTTTGAGCTAACATAGAATATTTTGCCTAAATGAATGTATAAGCTTATTGTGTGTGAGGGTTACCTCCCTTTCTCAAAATCAGCTTGTTTTTATGACATATGCAATAATATAAGAATCTCCTACCTTTTACAAAAAGTTTGGTAAAATATAAAATATAATTACATTTTGTAGTTCTATATTTGGGGCAGATTATATTATTATTGTTTAATAGAATCGCTCTCATCCTTGGGGGTAAGATAGATGAATCTCAACCCAAGGGGGAAGATTCTTAAGTTGCCAAACATGAGGATTTGACGAATGTTTGGCAACTTAAGAATTGTTCCTGAGGTTTGAGATTCCCCTATCTCACCCTCAAGGGGATGAATGGTTATTTTTCTCTTACCCTGTTCACCTATTATGTATCATATACATAATGTAATGTTAACGTTACAGGCTAAATACAGGGTTGACATGATGCTGGTAGATTGTTGACGTGACGTCATCGTATTGTTGACGTGACATCATACCATTGTTATGAATAGGAGAATCCACCCATCTCAACCCTAGGGTGAGACAAGGATATCTCACACTGGTAAAAGTGTGGATACACCTGTCCTGAGTAAGAGAAAAGGATTTCTTGCATACTAGACCGATATCTCGGTCTATCCGACCCACGGGTCTAGATCGCTTATACACGCAGACTGGCGGGGGGAATTATAGTGACCTTTCGGGGTCACGCTATTGTTCGTGACGTCATTTTATGACGTTTTGGGGTCACTCAGGGTCATAGATGTCACTTACAATTGACATCCGTGCTTCATATGCAAATGAGAAATGTGCAGACATTTTACAACTTTGCTAGAAGATCAGCTGTTTTTACGGGTTTTAGGTAATAAGCACGAAGTAGAATCCATCCCTGATGTGAGGTAAGGATAAGGTTATGCAAATCCTCAGATAAAATATTGAGCAAAAGACCCTCGGCACAGCCTCGGGTCTCCTGCTCAATATTTTATCCCTTGGGTTTGAATAACATTATCAATACCTCACATCAGGGATGGATTCTATTAATCTCATACTGGTAAAAGTGTAGATACACCTGTCCAGGGTAAGAGAAAAGTCAATCCTTGGCCTTTTGTCTTTAATGGATGTCTCACATCAGTTTGTATTGTATATAATGTTTGTTAATTTACAGGAGTTTATCTACTACATTGTGTACGACGTATTATTACTGATTGCGGCTATCGTAGCAGCTGCTCTGACAGGAACTACGAATCCTAATGGCAACGGTGCAATCATAGCATCCGCGGTAAGTTATTACTGAAATCTGTATCCCAGTGCTCTTAGGGAATTGTTAATCCACACATTACAAAATATAATTCAGTCGTACTGACATTTATCCACAGTTTTCAGGTAAAGGAAGGTCCAAATCATCCAAATACAGTAATCCCCCGGTATAATGCCCCCCGGTCTGTGAATTGTACAAATGTATTTTTTTTTTTAACTTATAATGTTTAAACGCTGCAAATGATATATGTTACGTATTTGCATTCATTTCAAAATAAATATGTGTGTATCATCAGTATATGCAGTGTTTGTTACAAATAGATGTACATCTTAGGCACATGTGACACATTCCTACATTTGGCTGTCCTACTGAAACCCCCTTGTATCGCCACCCCTGTTATACCGCCAAAATTGGCACGGGACAAAAGGTGGCGGTATAACAGGGGACTACTGTATTGTATAAACTAACTACTTCATCTTGGAAGATGGTTTTCCGACATTACAAGTAAACCTAACAATACGTTAGTCCTCAATTGCACTTGAACTAGTTAAAGTGACCAATTTCATAGCGTGCAACAAAAAATTGTAACTTAAAAAGTCTGTAAAAATGATTTGTATCTGAAGGCAGGTATAACTGGGCTTTATTTTACATAAATTCTTTTAGCATATGTACCATTAAAAGTACTGGTTTAAAGGTAATGAAATGATTACTTTGCTTTCTTTTAAAATCAAGTAAATTTCTTTACACAATTGATGCATAGAAATACAAGTAGTGCATGTAAATAGCATACTCTGACATAAGAACATTTACTATAATTATCTCGTGTTGTCAGTAATTTCTATATCTTTATTTGCAGCTGTTCGGCTTTGTCACTTTTGGGGTGTATATGGTTGACTCATTCTTCATGTACCGGAACTGGAAGGCTGGTAAATTTGCTGCCGGAGGTTCCAGCACAATGCATACAACCAGCACCACCTCGACATCGTACGAAACCCGCACCCAGTACTAGGCCTGGAACATCAGACACCATACCCAGCAGAGATATACAACAGCACGAGTAGGGTCATCAGGATTGTGTGAAAAGTGCATTATAAAGTTTTGCTTCATTTTGTAACCCTAGGCTACATCAAAACATCTTTAAATGATGTGTTGATTACTGCTAAACTGATTCCAACAATTGAGTTGATACAGTGGTTTCATGGAGGAATGACGGGGCTTTCCATGTGAGAAACCAATTTTCAATTTTTGCTTATATGCAAAAGTAGCTGTATTGTAGGTGTGTTATATCACAAGTAATGAAACGTTTTGTTCTGTTAATAGATAGTTTGTGTTTTTTCACTAAGTTGTGCTAATGTTTTGTACAAATAAGAAAAGGAAGTTTAAATGAACCTGATTCATATTTACATAATCACTAAAATATGTTGTCAACAGCTGTGACCCAGAAAAATAAATGCTGATATAGTGTGTAGAGTTGGTTCCCTTGGATGGCTGACTTTTAAGTGGGTGAACCTATTGCCCTAGTATGGCGTGTATAGAATTTTACCAGAGGTAGGCTGAAATAAGCCCATAGTACAGTAATTGACCCGTTATTTAGTCATTTAAAAACATAGCTGTCATCTGTAAATCTGTTGTACAAAAAGTGAACTATTACCTAGCATGGATTTATATGTCACTACCAGTAAAGAGTATGAGATGCTAGGAGGGTATAAAAACTAGTGTAGTTTGTTGGGTTCATTGGTTCATCGTTACTGGTGTGCATCTTTCTAATTATACTGTGGTGTACTATTTCTTTGACTTAAACATAAACAAGGATACAAGATGTGCAAAAACTAGTATTGGACAAATGAAAACTGTTTATTTCTTTTCTGTTCTTTTTTATTTTTATTTGTTTATGTACATTAACTCATTCACCCCTGAATACACATTTGAACTCTTCCAGTTCAAAGGTTGGAATAGTTCATTATGAAATTTCAGGGGTGAATGAGTTAAGTATTTTTGTGTAACAAAGCTGGTTGTGTATGAGTGTATTTTATTTCCTAGTTCAGAACCGTCATTTAGAATACTGTCAAAAGTTTAAAACATTCTTGTCAAATGAAAATCTGTGATCATAGTATCATAAAGTTAGAATTTTGTAAAACTTTAAAGAGTTTGGTATTTGTTAAAACTTGTGTGATTGGATCCTGAAAAAGGAAAATAATTTGTTTATAGTTCTATGCAAGTATCCTTTGTGTTGAGAAAACAATACTCATCCAATGGTTTTTACTAGAAACAGAATCTGTTTAATTCCAGCATAATTATGATATAGGTAAATATTGGTTATTTTTCTCCTCTCTATACATGTTAGTTTTAGTTTATATGTACATAAAAATACAATAAACCTGAATATTTTTTTATTCATTTTTAAGCAAAACGAGTTTGAAGTACATGTATTATTTAAATTAAGATTATAATAGGGGATTGTTATTGTTAAATATCTGTAAACATTTGCTGATTGATAAAGAATACTCTATCTGGAGCTGGAAAATGATCTTGGGGTGATATTTGAGATCTTTGGGTGACATTTGAATGTCATTGTTATTAAAATCTCTTATAAATGAGGCGTGCTCCTAGAACAAATCCAGATTCCTATAAAATCACAGCTTCAACTTTTTAATCTAAACCAGCTAATGAGTGCGATATATATGTTAACTTATACATGCTTATTGTATTGTCAAGATATGGATCTGATTGCGGTAAAAGTGTAATTTATTAGTATTAGTATCTTTAAAAAAATAACTACCTATGAAATTTGCATGAAATATTATAAATTAGAATATATCTGGAATAAATCTCTTTTACAGTGGAAATGAAGTCATAGTATAATAATATGTGTGTACAGAAGTGTAAACTAGTTTGTGTATTACATGTAGGTCACATGTACACAGGTGAGACACAGTTTCCTGTATACCTGTGTATGATATAGGCAAAATGTTATTACCAGTAATTGTATGCCACACAGATAAAATATAGTTCTTTAAACCTATAAATAGACTCAAACTGGAGAAAGATTTATGAGATAATGATCAATTTCTGTTTTGAAAATTCATAGATTTTTATAAAGTTCCTGGTATTAAAGAGTTATGCCAAGCTTCAGATATAAATATAGAGGGAATTAATTGTTTCTTGTGAGGGATTAATTTTGATGTTTAATTCTGCTGTGCTGCAGTGAAAACAGTACGTTTTTCTCATGAAAATATTTTACGAATGAAAACTAAATTGTGCAAAATGGTGGGTCAGTATAAACTGAAATCTAAATGAGATACATGAGAGAAGTGACAACCATTATCGTTTGTATAGTTTCTATGGATCACCTGTATTTCATTTATGGCAGCTTCATGTTGTGGTGGTAGTTTAGTGGTGTGTTTGTTAGGACTCCTATATCTGTGATTGTTACCTGTACTTCTAAACAAAAATAGTGTCATGTTGATTTTTTTTTTTTAATTTTCTATAAAAGATCAAACATTGTAATTGTTATTGAGATATGATGCCTTTCAAAAGCTATTCCGTTTAATATTCAAATATTTCACCGGTACATGTCACTTCAATTTTTTTTTTATTTTTTTTATTTATTTATTTCAATTTGACAGACCTGAGGGTCGCAATATATAATTGATAACAACAGCAATAAAATATGGTAAATTATTATAACAGAAAAAAATGCATGGCTGATCAAGATTGATACCAGTGCATGTGCAACATACTATATAAATCTTTCTACATACAATTCATACCTACCAACGACCTGAAGAAAATATTTACTTAATTTAAAAATGGGTAAGAACTCTTTGGTGAAACCCCTAGAAAATATTTGAACCTGGAATGATTTTTGAACCTGAAATGATTTTTCTTTTGAATGAGTTACCGGGGACGGTATATTCATTGTTTATTTCCCACACTTAAATTGTGTACAAAATGATTTTTTGAAGAGAACTTTGAGTTGGATAAAACTGTTGACTGTTTTCAATGACTTGTTAATTAGTTTGCCATTTGGATGGTGTTATATTAAGGCTTGTAAGGGTAATAAAGTTAATACTACGTTAGACTTGGAACACTAGTACTGATCAGGTTAGGAATGTCGTGATTTAGGCATTATAATCAGGCCTTGCTCTAATACAAAATTGAACTCATTTTTTTTATAAAATTTACGTTGAAGAACTCTTAAACTGCTTATTCTGAAAATTAATTGCATTTACTTGTTCATGATATTCTGAATAAATGAGTTTGAGGCCTTAATTATTTTTAGAACTTTTTTCTCTTCTAATTGTGCTGACCGAATATCTTCATTATTGTCATCATTTCCCATTGTACAGTCACATGTGTACATACACATCCTATTTAATAGGTCAGAGATATGTTTATTACGGACAGGAACTGAAGTCATAGAACTTCGACTGTGTGTAACTATGGATTCAAATTTAACACACGACTACCATGTTATACAATTAATACATTCGTGTAATTCGTGTCTTTAACCTCATGTTGTAACACCCTTTGTGACATCAGAATCACAGGGGCATGTCTCATGCTATTTAATAATAACATACAACATTTGATATATCACCCTATCTAGCTAGAATAAGCCACTCTAAAGTGTACAATCAATACAATTAGCATATACATTAATCGATACAGTGTTGAGGAATTCACAGGAGCTGCCCTATCAGGCGCTAACTACTAATCCTATGCCACCCCGCTAATATCTCCCTATGTTTGTATGCCTGCGAGTGTGCTGGAGATCTTTTGTGATATACATGTATAAAGGAGAATATATAAATGTAGTTATATAGCATGTGACATGGCCCTGTGATCAAAATTATGAAAATAATTATGTAAGTTGGAAACAATAGACAATACATTTGAGTCAAAAAGGCAACTTTGCAGACTTAAAATGGTCAGAAAAAGCATAAATTTCACTAATAAGAATATATGCATGCCAATATAGGATATGAATTTACTGTCCTTAAACCAGACTCTGAAACACTCCCTAACCAAATATAAAAACACTGTGAAATATGTTTAGAAATTGACACAGGTACACCGATACATCTGTATATATATTTGTTGGTGTCAAGTAAACTTCAGTACAAGCTTGGTTTACAAGTTTTATTTCTACACTCACACCACACGTACACGTGCATAACAAGAGGTCAAATAAATAGTAGATGGTAGTACATCTTCATGCATGCAGATACATATTTACAGTCTGCCTAAACTTGTTCTCCCTGTAAATCTTATGGACAAATTCAGAATAAAACTATCACTACATCAGCTATCAATATTGGTACAGCTTTTTAGGTGCATTATATATAGAATTGAGCAAACTTAAGTAGAAAAGTTATTGGACGAAATTATACTCTTCTCTGAATCAATCCTTCATATTTAGTAGAGTTATCTACCTTTATATTTCATGCTGTATTTTTTTAAAAATTGTTCAATGTTTTTATAATCTTCTAGTTTTGTTTTGTTGAAAATTATGTTTTTTTTTCAATTGTAAAAGAGCATTTGTTAACGCTAGGGCTGCGACGATAAATCATATCATATCGTATCGCGATACATTATTGTGTATCGTATCAATTTGTTTTGTTTGTCTGTATTGAGAGATACACAAACAGTACTTAAATGAATTATCATCAATCCATTTTTATCAAACTCTAATAAAGTATACCAACATTTTTTAATCCACCTGTAAAGATTTGGTCCACTGTGCGGTCATAACTGAAAGTACTAGAAATTATAGAAAAATATATCTCGGTAGCAATTACTATTGAAGTCGGACAAAACTCGATGAAATGAAGTTGACCTTTCAACAAGATATTTGTATCATCATGATACGTATATATATATATAGTAAGCATTGTACTGCGATAGGTATCGAATCGTTGCAGCCCTAGTTAACACCAAAGCTATGTAAAGGACAGTGTATGTAATACTAGAGGCCTGTAACATCGGATATGGATCTGTACTCGTTGTCAAATTTTATACAATTTCGAGGGGTTTGTTTTCTTTTTATTATCTTTTTTTTACACGATAATATAAGATCAGAATATATTAATATTAGCAACAATTATTGTATGAATATTGACGTCGGATTAAAAAATGTATGCATGTATACTGAACTAGTCTGGCATCATTGTTGTTTGGAGATAGGCAGGTAAGACTAGACTAATTGTATTAATGTGACTATTGTGTCCTGTTCTATCTTTAGTGTGTATATAACATCAATATATTGTATATATGCGTATGTATCATATTAAACCAATTAGTGAAAATTGACGAAGTTGTTATTAATTTACTGTAGAGGATCACAGGATTGCATCGATCTCATCCATCATTTTTGTTTGTATCCACCTTCTCTGAAGACCAAGCATTACCAATTTGGTATGCAAGTATGTATATATTGGTGCCCACTTTGGTACATTCCGGTTACACCAGTTTCGTCCCACATTAATCCCCCCCCCCCCCCCCCCCAGATGTGCTAGCATCAGGGGCCAACAAAGTTATTAATATAAGTTAAAATAACTTCGTTTCGTGATTGTTGTAAAATAAATAGATTTCATACTGAAATTTTACATTTTAAATTCAGTAACATAAATAAAAACAAAAACATCATCTGTACTACATCTTTATTGTAACAACACTGACTTAATCGTTACTACATGTACAACAAACGTATAGAGTAGAATTGAAGCTACTCACCAAAACAATACACACTAAATTGGCCCAGTGTACACTCAGTATACTACATATCTTGTCCTTAGTCTTAACTGTATAAATCTTGCCCCCAGTCTTAACTATAAAACTCTTGCCCTCAGTCTTAACTGTACAACTCTTGTTCTCCGTCTTGACTACTGTATAGCGGTAATATTTCACAGGGTTTTAATTTCGCTATATTCGCGGTTTGACTAATATCCGCAAATTGTAAACACCAGCGAAATTATCGGAAATGTTAACCACTTTGACAGACCTTATCACAACATGTTGAAAACACTTATAACCCAACGCTGTTATGTAAGCTTAAATGAACTCAAATCAGATTATCACCGGACAACTGGACAGTCCATGTAAAAACAACATTTACATACAAGTGGCCAAAACATATTTATGTGTACACAGTAGGTGATTAATTGATTACAGTTTACTCCTACAAAGGTACATTAACCTTTGATTTTCTTTCGAGTTAAGTCACTGGCGGATGATGATGCTCGGAATCAGTGTTTTCAAACGGTTTACCTGTATTTCGAGGTTTAAACCTTAAATGATAACGTCAAAATACTTTGCATGACACATTGGATTCGGGTGCAAAGCAAAATTTAAACCCTGCAAATATATACTGAATACGAAACTGCGAAATATTGACCCCGCAAATTTAAAGCGCGATATACAGTATACGACTTTTTGTCTCAATCTGAACTATTCCGTCTTTGCGTATTGCAGAGTTATCTTCTTTTCTGAGCAGGTATTGATTGTTACCTCATTGGTTTGTGTGAGAAAATTACATTGTTTTCTCAAAAATTTATGACGTTCCTCTCACAAACCAAATGACGTAACAATCAATACCTGCTCACAAGAGAAGATAACTCTGCCATACACAAAGACGGAATACGACTCTTGTCCTCAGTCCTAACTATATAACAACTCTAGTCCTCAGTCTTAACTATACAACTGTTGTCCTCAGTCTTAACTATACGACTCTTGCCCTCAGTCTTCAATATACGACTCTTGTCCTCAGTCTTAACTATACAACTCTTGCCCTCAGTCTTAACTATACGACTCCTGCACTCGGTCTTAACTATACAACTCTTGTCCTCAGTCTTAAGGACACAAGTAACCATCATGGGAGAAGATTTATATAGGCTTAATCCTGTTGTCTAATCCTTTTGTTTCGGAAACAATGAAATACCTAGAATTTAAAGTAACTATCAAGTCAGTTCAAAAATATGTATCCCCTGAGTTTAAATCACACACTACATTTGTACCTCATTGTAGCTTCTTGTATTCAACTCACTCTATAAAACATAAATTCTACAATTTATCTACACCTGATCTGTGAAGATTTATGTTAGAACTCCAGACACAAGTCAGCTAGGCACACTTGACACACCTAATCTAAATCTACTCCGTACTATTCTTAACATGAAATGTCCTACCTAAGGAGATCCCTGGCCAGCTGCACTGGTTTTCCCTATATACAGTAACCTCCCCTTACCTTCTGTTTAGATATAAGTGACTAGCACAGTCTGGTCAGGATCGACACTTCCATTGACCTGGTAGCTCAATTGGTCAGAGCCATATTGAACCCTGGTCTAACCCCGCTGAATGTTTTCAACTCTGAGCACTATCGTTGAATCATTGATCCTCCTAGAAGTCCAGCAAGGTATGGTTTCCTTTTCAGAAATGATTTATCAAAGCTGTAGTCAGTTCAGGACATGTAGCGCTTTAAAGGAAAAGTTGACGGATGGACGACGGATGCTGCGGTATGGCATTAGCTCACCATGGTCCTTTGGACCAGGTGAGCTAAAAATGCATAACAACTCATGAATTGAAGTACCTTTCATGTTGCATGCTTGAGGAAATGATAGCAATCGCATTTGTAGAATTATCAACTTCAATCAATGTCGAGAAAGCATCAACCAATCAGAACTGTTAACGGTTCTGAAACTCATCAAATCACATAGATGTTACAAATATTCAGGCTTGGCCTGTGTATCAACATTTTAGAACAAAAAACAAGATTCAGTAAAAATATGTACATAAAATGGGAAAGATACAGTCAAAAAAACAGAACAGTACTAAGAAGTGCCTGTCACATCAAAAAACGATTGCACAGATTATAGTGATCTTCAACAAGAGATCCTAGAAGGATTTAGGTACCCACCATGAAAGGATCTTTATCAGATCTACAAAAGAGTCTTTTACTTTCTTTGCTCTTCATTTTTCTTACAGGGACTATTACCCAGTCCCATGTTGTAAATCTTAAACAGGAATCTTGTACGTTAACTAAACCTTGTAATGTCATATGTTATTCGCCACTATATAGAATTGCGTAACTATACGGTATGCAAAATGCTAAAATTTTAATTCTCACATAATTAGAAGTGTTGTCAATGACGGATGAGTTATCATTAGAGCAAGGGGTATTTTTAACAAGGGACCAAAGGGGACATGCATAAAATATTGAAAAAGAAAAATATTGAATTGTCGAAATTCAAGATGGCTGTTTGTCGGCCATCTTGTTTTACCAATCAGTTCCAAAAGTCATATATATGAATAAGTAGGGACCCTTAGGAACCTTCATATAAAATTTGAGGAAGATCGGCATCCAGTACTTTCTGAGAAATAGTGCTAACAATCTTTAACTCTCAAAATTCAAGATAAGTCACCTGTCGGCCATCTAATTGGAGTTCTGATCAGTCCAAAAAATTCAATATGCATAACTACGGATCATGGGGAACCTTCATGTGAAATTTGAGAAAGATTACTGAAAGTATTTTCTGAGAAATAGCACTAATCTACCAATAAAAATTAGTAACTAACGGGTATGAACAGTTTTCTGGCAGGGGATCTGCCTAAAAAAAATACTACTGTATTATTTCATTACTATGTAGAAGCTTAAGACATTAGACAATTTAAGAACATTATCTGTGAAAAAATCATTTTTTAAATCTTAATGGTTCTAGCAAAGTTAATGAAACATATTACCATTACTTAAACAACACAACAATAACTACAAATTCACTATATTACATGTACATGTGCTGTACATAGCATCATAAGTTAGTATACAGACATAACAAGTAATCAAATAATTAGTACTGCAAGGGCATGCATGAAAAGGAATCCCTTAATTACATTTTAGCACTAATTACAATACATAAGTGAACATCACAAGGAATCCCTTTATCAACCCTTTCATCCCTATATAACTTTAGTAAACTCTACCATGCATTGAATTGGAGCAAGTCCATTATGGTATACAATGGTGAAAGGCCTAGGGTTAACAGTACACTAAAAAAAGTCTGTCTTCAACTGATAGACAAGGAATGCAAGGTTTTATACTCAAATACATAAGATATCACAGTTCTGTACAAGATGACAAGTGTGATACAGTATACTGGTGTACTGTAGGTGACCTGACCAGGTAGTATATATCTTAAAGGCCCTCCAGACAGGTGTAAATCCTACTGTTACACTTCTCGATAGATCATCTGTCATAGTCACCACCTGGGTGACCTAACTACTCTTTACACCATGTTCGTACCTGAGTTATACCTTAGCTTGCTTTTAGGACGAGATAAAAAAAAATTGTTACTTCATACATATACATAATTGTATACTGATTAGATTAAAAGCTAGATTTTTACATTTTAAATTTAAAAATCAAGTACCAGGCAGATGACATATTTTAAACATTAAATATTTTAAGTGATACAAACTTGACTCTACCAGGTACCAATAAATATTCCCTAATGTACCCATTCATATAATTATTGCATAATCACTCAGGTTTCATTAAAAAAAAAAAAAAAAAAGTCTTTATTGGAAAATTTGTATACATGGCACTTCAGGTAAAAATGTAACTGATCATGATATAATATACACTGTATTGGTATATATGACATCAGTATGACCAGCCTACTGACTTCTCTCCTGTCCTTATATACATAATGGTGAACCAGGTAGTACAATACTGTCGCTCACATTTGTATAATTGTACACGTTTACCTAAAGAATTAATAAATGCAAAATACAAAATTGTATTAATCTTATTTATATATTACTGTGTGATCAGCATTTCTTTGTATTGTAGAAGGAGTTGGGAAAAAATGCATGGCCAGACCAGGATTCAGACCAGGGACCTTCCGAACTCTAGACCGAAACTCTATCTGGTCACTCACTACATTGACACAGTCCAATGCTACTACATGTACATTTTTTGCTGGTTTATTCTTAAATTCCATGTTTTACATTCCTTCTTAGTTTTGGACTGTTGCAGAAGTAATAACTAGAATATAGTTATATGTGACAAGGAGGGAAATGTATAACAGTGTTGTCAATAACTATACATCAAACATACTATACATAATTAACCCTTCAACCCCTGTGTAACTTTTAGTAGACTCTACCATAAATTGATCTGGACGAGTCCATTATGGTCTACAGTGTTGAAAGGGTTACTAATGCATGTAAACAATGAAAGACAATGAAGAATTAACGAAAACAAAAAAGGTTTTCTAAAAAATTCTGCACCATAGCAGGTTATAATGTAACTGTATGGTAAAGATAACAAAAAAAAAGAACATATTGTCTCAAAAAAACCCATCATTACTGGGGGAATACATCGTCAAGGGGAAATGCTGACATCATTACCAACAGGTCACATGATAAATACATGAACATTACACAAAAATTGCACATTGTTCAAAAGTGGAAACTTCTAACTACTTATATATTGCATGACATTTTATTTTTGTGTAAATTTGTGTCAATTCACCAATAACCACAAAATTCAAGTATCACATCAACAGCAATTTACACATGATTTAAGACATATACAAGTTAAACACAATTTACTGTTCTCAAAAACAGGTACTGCAGAAAGATCTCTTTGAAATACTTAGTGTTCATAAAATGCAATAAATCTAAAGTATTGTACTTACCCTCTAATAAGCCAGGGAGGCCAGTTCACATATAACTGCAATATTAGAATGGCATAAAATCCAAACTTGAGGAAATATGAGTGTCAAATGTTAACTAAACTTTATTCTTGACAATGGTGCGTTAATTAATATCCCATCTTAATAAGTTATTTTGTGGTGAAGTAAAATTTCACTGAATCTGAAATTAGTCAAAAATACTCCACAATGAATGCAATGGTATTAACTTTATTCGCGAAAATGACTTGCCGCTGATTATGTTGATCAGTGGTTACTATGCCAAGTGTCATTATAGAAAAAATGCTTGGAATAATTTCAAAATAGTCATTACAGACAGGTAAAGACACGGTATAGACAGTCGGTCAATAGGGCAGGTTTTTATTTCAGTGTCTCTTGATATTGACAGAAAAAATATTTCCCTGCATTGAGACACAGGAGAGTGCATACAACTTATCCGAGGAACTGTTCTGTTAACAGGCCAGGATATCAGCTGTATGCTTGTCAAAAAATTATACATATATATACCGCTTTATCACAACCTAGGTCGTCTCAAAGCGGTTCACAAATTATTATCTGTGGTTATAGGGCCTTTGCAACCAGCAAATATCTTTCTCAACTCCCTGGGGAGCATACAGCCGGTGCTGCCATTTCCGCGCTCAGAGCTAGCATTCAACAATTCTAGCACTGCCCAACCACATACTCATTTACAGCTGAGTAGACTGGAACAAGGGGAGTTAAGTATCCTGCTCAAAGATACAACACAATGCCGAGCTGTGACTCGAACCCGAACCCTTCGGTCACGAGCCCGGTGTACATGTCCTATCACTAGACTTGCAGTCCTCCTGCTTGTCAGATAATATAACTTTACATAGCCTCTTGTACCTGTCAGATAATCCCACACCAGCTGGTGTCTAGAGCAATTTATATATATATTACAGGGGGTATTGTGTCTATAACAGTATCATTGTAGATCTGACTTAACAATTAATTATAAATCTAACAGCACCTATTTCAGAAAATTTTGAAGTTGACAACACAAAAACTTACAATATGGATAATCATGAAACAAACTTGAAGAACTGACATAATTTTGTTTCCATATATGACATATATAAAATATATGCTTTCTATATATTATCACCATTCATGGTTATTACACTAATGCGATGACATCACAGCTTTATAGACTAGCTAGCTTATATAGGATAAATGTATACCAGCTTGTAACACAATAATGTTAATTTAAATAATTATGACAATAACTATCTGTCATTATCCCTAATTTCTTTAAGCTCTGTCGAATGATCATTGGTCTTCAGCTAAAATGCATCCTATATCATCAGATGGTTTAATACAATTTATAAGTGAACATTACAGCAAAATCCTGATACAAGTATAGTGTTTTTAGAGCTCCAGTTTCATACAAAATTAAGTCTTATTATTACTATGGTAATAAATTATGCTTACGTTAGACAATACAAACAATAATTTCTGTCCACAGTCAGCAAATTTAGCCTATACATTAACATTTTTATTATTATACAACATTACATGTAATGATGTATACTTAGAAACTCACAAGACATTGAACAACTTGATGAGATTCTCAAGTAACCACAGAGAAAACAGGGGTGACATATATATGCATTGTGGCAGTGCAATTACCCTGCATTTATGAGTTAAAAATTTACATGAAAAATTACATTTTGAACTGTTAAAGATTGACATAAAGCATTTAAGTTATGATAAATAGAATCTTAAATATGACCAGATAAGTTTCATGCATTGATTAGAACATTACTAGAGAATAAATAAGACTTTATTAAATATTGACAACTTCATTGCTTAATATTAAGTTCTCATTGCACTGCAGTCTCATTCACATGAATGAAACGAAGATACACGTAGGGTTTATACAGAGAACCATAACAATTGAACAAAAAGACAAGAACAAACATCCTCGTCCCAAACAATGAAGCATGCTGCTGGGGCGAGTGTGGCACATAACTAAACACATATCTCATTGTTGAGATAATCACGACGAATCACAGTCTTCACACACCCGAAACACCAGCGAGCTGATGGCATCTCCAGATTTTCCATGGCCTCAATCTCCAGAGTTTTCTTGCTCAGGTCGATCACCTTGACCTTCTTCAGGATGTTGTTGTCTGGCGTCTTACCGCCTACTAGAAGGATCTTGCCTCTGTACTGAATGACTTCAAAGTGATGTTGGCTGAAGTTTGGAAGTCGACACCTGAGTTTGCCAAGAGTCTGGACAGAGATATCAGGGGAGCTACCAGGAGAGCTTGGTTCTGAGTCAGAAATACTTGCATCTGAGTTGGAGGAGTCCAGTCGGCCACGGGGTGACGATGCTTGAAAGAGATTATTCAGGTGTGTTGGGTCCTTGAACTGGAGCACTCGTCCATCCGGTGCTAATACATAGACATTTGTATCCAAGGATACAGTCCGAGTTAGCCTACAAGTAAAGGGCAAGTCACCAATAATGGTACATGTCCGCATCCGGGAGTCAAAGCATTGGACAGAGTTGGAATCCTTGTCTGACTCTGTGATGCCACCAAATACAAAGACCTTCTCCCCTATGACTGAGGCAGAGGTGGACCTAACACCCAGGACTAAATCACCAGCATTGGTCCACTTCTCTGTCTTAAGACTGAACTCTTCAATACTTGTTATTGCTGGAGCGCGTCCATCACGACCCCCAATAACAAAGATGGAATCCTGGACTGCCACCATGACATGGCCGCAGCGCCCATTAATGAGCGATGCACACACTTCCCATTGATTCTTGTGAGTCTTGTACTCTGCCATTCCCTGGAGTTTTAGCCATCCCCCAGATATAAATAAGCTGTCTCCATGAGTACAGGTAGCAAACTCATAACCAGGGTCATATGGGAGCGAGGGGAGATAGAACCATCGGTGCTGTTGAAAACTGAAGCACAGAACTTCCTTGGTGGTTTGGTAGCGTGGTGTTGTTGACAGGAGTCCTCCTATCACCACTAACACGTCATCCTTTGTCCCGTTTTGTCGACAGCATGCCTGGGATGATGTGAAGTCTTGGCGACGAGAGGAACAGGAGTGGTATTTGAGTGCCTCCAACAGGGATCGCATACACCTGGGATCGGTCTTGATGTAGGGATTTTTGTCCATGAGGTTGAACAGGTAGTCGCTGGAGACCAAAGGGAGATGCAGACTCCCCAAAATCTCATGCAGCTTCTCCTGTCTCACTTCCTGGCTATGGCCAATCCACTGCATAGCCACGTCACACACAAACTCTTCACTAGGTGAATTCAGATCATCACTGTTGATGATACTGACAAGTTCATCTGCCTCCAGACTGGGAAAGTCCTCTGTTGTAGATATTACCGGAAAGTTTTCTAAAATGGTCGTCCACACTTTGTCTGCTAGTTTCATCCTGTTGTGCGCTTTAGCAATCTTCCATATTCCTATACAATTTTCATATGATGCTTGGGCCAGGAGGAACTCTTCACAGCGCTCTTGTAAACATGGAATTTGCATCAGAGATGCTGCTTGGAAAACTTTTTCAACGTTAAGTTCACACACAACATTCTTACCGGTGTAGATGTACTGCACGACACTGTCGAATATGTCCTGGTCTATGTCGTGTAGTGTCACTAGGTTGTCCAAGTTCTCACGCATGTCATGTGAAAACATCGCCTCAAAGTAAGGTGAGACAGCACCCAGGACAACTTTGTGGCACAGGAAGCGTCGATCTCCGACCTCCACTGTCACGTCCGAGTGCTGACCGCTGGCAAGCATTGCCTCCATGCCAGAAGATAAGATGGACAGGTACTTCAGCTTGCCTTCCATACCCTGTAAAATGATAGAAAATCAACATGTTAATATCATAACACTGGCATTTGTATCAATACATGTACATTTAAAGAGTGGAAGAATGGTCATGTATTCATTAAAACAGTAGTTAGATAACAAATAATTCCGAGAGAGAAGAGTTTTGTATTGATTTTGAGAAAATACAGCAGAAATGTTTACGGGTTAGGGACCTCATAACTGTTTCAAATTCACCTTAAAATCACTGGCATCACTTCAGAAAAAACATCGGAAAAAAGACTGCTTCAGATTCCGAATCTATAGCTAGACCACACTGAGCTTGAACGTGTATATATTGAAATATGACAAACTATGGGTCCCGTCAGTCACATAGTACATACAAGTATATACATGTAGGTACTAAGTTGTACAGCTGTAAAATCAGATACCGAATCATACCTTCATACTTTATAGACATTTTACATGACTGCTGCGCATGCCATTTGCAAAATTTTAAGATAAAAGTTATTTTTCAACACCTTTTAAAAGTAATAGGGAAATAATTCATTACTTAATGTAAATGCACTGTACATCCACATGTAGGCACCACCATTTAACTCTTACAACAGTTTTATAATTGTACATTTCATCAGCATTCAGGGTTGATCTGCTATATGTGTAACACATCCTCAGGTATTTAATTATAAGGTGTACAGGTGACATGGGTGTGTCAGTCTGTCATACCATGCATATCACCATGACAGGGCAAGTTTGGCTATATAAGTACTAATGTACTTCAGTAATTATTTATAAGTACTTAAATTTGTGAAGAAATTATATTCATATGCAGTTAAACTTCAAATCTTGACTGAATGTTTTACCACATCTACATGGGTAAATCAGTTCAAAATAGCGCTTTCTTCAACATGTGCAATAATACAATTGAAAATCTCTGACATACATTTAATCATTTATTTGTCATAATATTATGATCCTATAACTACAATAACATCAGCATTTTAATATCATAATTATACAACAATTTAATTTTATACATATATACATACATATTATATGTCTGGGTCATGTACGTATATATTTGCAATGCAACCTTCTATATGAACATTACCAGCAGAACGGCATTTCATTTGAGTATGAAAGCAAAAACTCTCGTGACAACTATCACATGGTGTACTTATGACATCATGGATTAACCTTGTTCAATGAGAGTCTTGTCGCTTTGCTTCGGATAACATGGAGAATGCCCCTACGTCAAACACTCAAATGACTACGGTTGATTATTAGCCCAATTTGATTAAAAAAAGGGCTGTTCTGCCAATGTTGTTTAAAGGATGATACATAAACAAAACAAAATAAATAAATAAATTATTTAAGAACAAAATAAATAAACTCAAACATTTGTTCAATAGTAAAAATGTAAATATATGGATTGATAGCGGGCTTCATGTAATATGGGTGTAACTGATTTGCGTTCATACCGACATTTGTTTTTAAAAAACGCCGTTCAATCCCTATATATATATAGATTAGATCTATTATCTAAAATTTAAAAACATCTACAAATTACTTAAAATGACCTTGTTTAGACAAAATAAAAGAATTAAACACCATAATTTAAGCTGTTCTTTGCAATTAATTTAACAAACAGCAAGACAAAGGGAACTTTGCTGGTGTAAAACATAACAAGAGGCCCGATGGGCCTGCATCGCTCACCTGTTATTATTTTCACACTTGTAATCTTAAAAGTGGACTTAAATACAGCTACAGGCAGAATATCAGTGTTTGATTCATAAGAACCAATTAAAAGATTTAAACATATAACGCCTGTGACCTTGAATGTCGAACAGGGACATTAGGTTGAAAGTGGGTCAAGGTCATTCATTTGAACAAATTTGGTAGTCCTTTATACCAGCATGCATGCTACAGGCCCAATTTTAGTAACCTAGGCTTTTTGGTTATTGAGAACAAGTCGTTTGAAGATTTTAAGACATTTGACCCCTGTGACCTTGAAAGTTGGTCAAGGTCATTCATTTGAACGAACTTTGTAGCCCTTCATCACAGCCAGCTACATGCCCAATATCAGTACCCTGGGCCTTTTGGTTATTGAGAAGTTGTTTGAAGATTTTTAAGACATTTGACCCATGTGACCTTGAAAGTGGGTCAAGGTCATTCGTTTGAACAAACTTGGTAGCCCTTCATCTATGCATGCTACTGGCCAAATATCATCAGCCTGGGCCTCTTAGTTATTCAGAAGAAGTTGTTTAAAGTAAAATGTTGACGCCGGACGGACGACGAATGCCGCACCGTGCCCACTTGGCCCTTTGGGCCACTGGTGAGCTAAAACTAAGGCAAAGCACACAATTTGAATCCCGCTGCATAGTCGGTTGTACAATGACTTCCCTTGTGATGCATATGCATCTTACCAACGACCTGCCATCTCATTCAAGATTATCTTTACATACTCAGGGTTTTTGACTTTATCGCATGACACTTCATCAAAATTCATTCAGAAATGAAGTCAATATGTGTTAGTCAGTATAACTCGGTATGACCATGACCTTATACATTTAATTAGCACTCTGAAACATGAATCAATAATTCATAGAGTTTGATCAAAACCTATTGCAAAAAGAAATGGCTATATATAGCTAGAGCAGAGTGATAACAAAAATGAAACACAATGTGCAAACAGACTACTATAGTCCTTCCACAACCTCATTTCGAGGGAATAATCTGTAAAGTCAAATATTTGAATCTCTCTTCAAGGTGGACCAGGCACGGCCAGTATTGCTGAGTAGTCGCTGAACTTTCTGATTTATATGAGTGTGAGGAGAGCCATATTTACTGACTTTACTAGGTACATGTACACTTTCAGCTGATAAAAGGTTTTCTTATGACAACATGATGAAATATCATGATCACAAAGTTGACAGTTCTGATGTCCAGGTTTATTTTAAATGAGCCCTGGCCACTGACCGTTACACTTATAATTGTACACGTGAATGGCTATTTATAGTACATTGTAGCGTAGTCTACATGTACTGTATGAAAGCTGATATTGCATGTTAGAACTTAGCTAACAGTATTTCCCTATAAGTTCCTATAACAAAACATTGCAAAGAAAAAAGGAAGTTAATAATAATTTTATAAATCATAATTGTCTGCTTACATACAGTCACAACATTGTTTCTCTTACTATAATCAGCCGATTGGTGATTTTTCGAAAGGGGAATACAAATTAGTCCTGATTTGGTTATTCTACAAGTGTGTTTCTTGTAAACAAAATTTTAAACCGCAAATCACTACCTTGAATTATCAAAGAAAATCTTTTTGGTTACAAATACATTTTTAATACAGGTACTTTAGGTAGAGGCTTACCACCAGGTTACCCACCTGACCGAAGGGAAAATTAAAAGGACAAGTGGAATATATAATTGACAAAATGTGCATTGTATGTAAATTATTACATAGATAGATAGATACACAATTAGGGTCTGCCTCTCAATTTAGAAAGACGCATGCAGGTAACAGTATAACATGTACAAATAGACACCTTCTACTTTTATAAAACTAGACTTATTTAATTTCAAACTGTTTAAGCATCTGAGCATTGGTTAACATCTTCTGGGCCAGGACTACATGTAGTTCTAATATCATTAAAGGCATTTTTGACATATAATATATTGCTGTGGATGAAGAGAGTATCATATACATGTCATTAAGTATATATATAGAAGATAAGCTACATGGGGCAAAGAAGTAATTCCAACAGTGTGGACAAGTTTAGGTTGCCAAATTTTCAGAGCGATCCACTCCTTTATCAAGACACAGTGAAACAGAACAGTTACATGTACATATACATCATATTACAAGAAGATAGAACTGCTATACTATAATTGAAAATATAGCTATTATATAATAGAAATAATAAAACCAAATATATAGAAGATAGGCTACACATATATATTTGGGTGTTGCTGGAGTGCTATCTTGATGTCAAAAAAATCCATTGTAATTATTATTTCTGTTGTTTATATGATGTCCTTGTTATACTAGTCCAAATTTCCATTTATTACAGATCTTTTTCAAGAATGAATATTTGTACTGATTGGTCTTGCCATTTCGTACTACCACAGACTTAGATCTAATTCCGTGGTACTACATAGCATTTCAAGTTATTTGTAATGCAACTATCTATATTTTTTTTTTAAAGTTCAGCAACTCAAGTAGTAAACACTTGCAAATGTCTTTATCAAATATAAAAGGAATACAGATCAACATGAAAAAACGAAAATGATTTAAACAATCAATAATGCACATCTTTGACATAGGACTGTAAAGATTTCTTCTGTATAACATCTTATATGTTAATTTCAAAATTACATATTTTAAGAGGCAAACAAATTTTGCCTTCAGAAAGCAAGTACAGTGTCTATAAGGTATTAATTACTTTAGCGAGCAATATTCTTGCAGGCAGATATGTGCTATTTTAAGGAATCCCGAAAAAGTATACTCAGTAAAAAAAATGAATAACATAAGTCAAGAAGCTTTATTTAACGTCGCATATATACATGTAATCACAGCCTCAATTAGATTAGATCTAAGTCTGTGATGTAACATAATAACATTAGCGCTGTAGTGCTATTCTTGCGACGTAAGTATAAAATGAATATCAGTCAATAGCTACATGTATATCAACCTGGCATTTACGTACTTGTCCCACAGAATAAGATTTCAGTTTGTCCTGATCGTGATCGATCCAGTACAGTAGTCTAGTGTTACCAGATCTTTGTGGGTGTTCGACAGTTATGCAATACTATAGTTTGTCTTGTCTGACTCGTGTACCGGTATTTAGATAAGATATAGCTATGGTGTTCGTGGTGCTTTACTATCCTCACGCCTCAGTAACCACGGGTCAAGCACTGCGCGTCCAATTTATTTCCCCGTTTACTTTGACGCTATGGCTATTGATTTACAAGTTGGAAGTATCAACATGCAATAGATAATATCTCACATATCACATGTATCACCCCGCATGAGATTCTGGCAAAAGAATCAGTTGTAAGTTATTATCATCACATCCACAACAAAAGATTGCGCAACAAAAAACACAGACTACTAGTACTAGGCATCGAACCATGACCCAGTCAGCTGTTTCTTTGTCGTTGTCGTCAACACTGAACCTTTTAATTTCAATAATCTACGTCGTTACCTACCTGTGTGTAAGATCTTTGAGGTTCCATCCATAGAATCACTCAATCAACAGGTGACAGTCACAATCATCAGTCTTTGGTGTCATCGCGTAGATTTCAATTATAATTCAATGAGGAAGGAACTCGCACATTTTCCGTACGTTTCCAAAACATCACCCCTGTGTGTAACAAAAGCTTGCATTTGACAATTTATAATAAAACACAGCAGAGATCCTGATGAAGTCTGTTATGGCGGGAAAATTAAAACACATCCCAGTGTGACAGACAGGTGCTCGATATCAGACATTAAACATGAATCTACTTATTTCTTGTAAATGTAGTGGATTTTCATTCGAAGATGGTACTAAGCACAGGGGAATGGATCGCTTTACTTGTAATATCTAAGGCACGGACTTACATAATCTAATTCCGTGGTAGAGGAGACCACTATTTTTTGATATTACAAGTATTAAGTAAAGCGATCCATGCCCCTGTGATATCAGCAGCATATATATCCAGAGACGTATATACCTCTCTGATATTTCATATCTTGTGTTTACCAGCATATTTCCATCAAATAGTTTTGCTTTTACCACGGAATTATCTAAGTCCGTGGTTTTTACCGACATTTCCGCGTACACAATGCCAACTATAAATGTCAGAAAACTCGGGGGGGGGGGGGGGGGGATGTACGCCAACGATATTTACTTACCTAATGAAGTATCCTTGTTCCATTTTCACCACAGTGATACGCATCTATCCCCAAACGACATGGAAATATACGATAGCACGCAAAGCTTTTAGGTGGCACTGAACACATATTAGGCTAGGTGGGGGATGTGCCTCGGCACAGATAAAGGGTCAGAGGTCAAAGTTTACAATTTAGCTTGGCGGGGTCATGTAAACATTAGTTTGGTGCCTTGATACATTTCTTCTTGTGTGACCGGTGAATAGAATTACGGAATTAGATTGTAAGTACATGACAGAATATGTGTATATTACCGGTATGTTACTGTTGCATAATATATATATAAAACCGTTCTTTGTATGTGTAGTAGAAAACAAATACAGGTAAATGCAGGGTATCTGTTTGAAACGTAAATCTACACGATTGATTTAGGCTGTTCTACATTTTGACATTTGTTTGGTTTGTTAAATGGTTTCGTTAGGCCTACGTTACAGATTACGGATGGCAGTTTACCTGTCTGAATGCTCAGTTGCTCGACACACTATGATGTGTATAAGTGTGTTGCGCACCTGTGTCTGACCGAAGTGTTTGTGTTTGAAACGTTTTATATGAAGGTTGGGTAGGTGATGTGTGCTTGAAGATTTAAGGATCCCTGTACCGCTGCCAAAAAACTGTAACTATGTGTATTGGAAACCGTTTTTCCGGCATTACTATAGTTTTAATAAATCATTTCTGAAAACCATCCTTCGGGACTTTTATGAAGCAATAATAAAGATGAAGTTCTGAATGTAGAAATAAGCAGGGCTAGAGCAGGATAGACTTCAGATTGTTATACAATTGTTAAGGGGAGGTTATTGTATAAAGGAAAAAAACACAGTACAATACCGGACAACTCCTTATATTTAAAGCAAAACCCAATTAATGTAATTGGTCATTAAAAACAAAGCAATGATTGTTGTACCACAGACCTATATGTATTGGTTTCATACGTCTTTGCAGCTACACAGATTTTCACTAAAACAAGCTGACATATAACGGCACAGTGTCTTAATTGCACTGTATCTTTCATTGCAGGTTACAATTATATAAGATTCTAGCTTTTGTCATTGTCTAGATAGTGTTTCATAACTGGTGATTTTTTTACATCCTGAGTTGCACATTAAATTAAGTTCATATACATTCTTATTGATAAGTAGCCCCAGGTACCTATGATAAGTAGCAAAACAATACTGGTAGTAATAACTTATCAGAAATAGACAATGTGTATTGAATAATCAGACAGTTCTCTCTAGGAGTCGTCTATATTACATGTGTAAACACTGACACAACTATTTTCATCCATAAACAATTGGCTGCCTTTGTAAAATGCACCCCAGAATATGTCAAGATGAAATTGAAGTTGTCTTTATTGATAATACATAAAGTTACACTAGTTTGATCCTTTGATGTACATCAAAAGAACTGTGTGGTAGCCTAAAGGGAACATTGACTGTCTTTGAAGTTGCTCCTCTAGCTGTAATCTTTGAAGGACAGGTATCATGCAGCCTAGTGCACATTATTTCTGCCTGAAACCAATGAAATTGCTAACAGCGTGCCATATCCAGGGGGTGCAGAGAGTGTTTTGTTAGGTGAGTGTAACAAACGGATAATCCAGGATGTGTAAAATCAGGTTGACAACATATAATTCAAGTGACAATTTACAGTGTTAACTTTTTGTGACAATAAATTAATTAAATTCATTTTGCTCAACTGTAATTGCAGACATATTCTGGAAATGGCCTCTTCTGGAAGGAAGCTTGCTGGCAAAGTGTGTATAGTGACTGGGGCAACTCGAGGGATAGGGAAGGGAATAGCTCTACAGCTGGGTGAGGCTGGAGCTACTGTATATATCACAGGTAAGTCTGACATACAGGTGTGTGACCCTAGTACCCAGGGGTAGGGATATTCACAGCTTGGTGAGGCTGGGGCTACTGTATATATCACCGGTAAGTCTGACATACACTGATGTGTAACCCTAGTCCCCAGGGGTAGGGAAGTCACAGCTCTACAGCTGCATGGTGTGAGGCTGGGGCTACTGGTAAGTCTGACATACAGGTGTGTGACCCTAGTCCCCAGAGGTAGGAAAGTCACAGCTCTACAGCTGGGTGAGGCTGGGGGTACTGTATATATCAACGGAAAGTCTGACATACAGGAGTGTGACCCTAGTCCCCAGAGCTAGGAAAGTCACAGCTCTACAGCTGGGTGAGGCTGGGGCTACTGTATATATCACCGGTAAGTCTGGCACACACTGATGTGTAACCCTAGTCCCCAGGGGTAGGAAAGTCACAGCTCTACAGCTGGGTGAGGCTGGGGCTACTGTGTATATCACCGTTAAGTCTGACATACAGGTGTGTGACCCTAGTCCCCAGCGGTAGGAAAGTCAAAGCTCTACAGCTAGGTGAGGCTGGGGCGACTGTATATATCACCGGTAAGTCTGACATACAGGGGTGTGACCCTAGTCCCCAGGGGGAGGAAAGTCACAGCTCTACAGCTGGGTGAGGCTGGGGCTACGGTATATATCACCGGTAAGTCTGGCACAGACTGATGTGTAACCCTAGTCCCCAGGGGTAGGGAAGTCACAGCTCTACAGCTGGGTGAGGCTGGGGCTACTGTGTATATCACCGTTAAGTCTGACATACAGGTGTGTGCCCCTTGTTCCCAGGGGTAGGAAAGTCACAGCTCTACAGCTGGGCGAGGCTGGGGCTACTGTGTATATCACCGGTAAGTCTGACATACAGGGGTGTGACCCTAGTCCCCAGGGGTAGGGATAGTCACAGCTCTGCAGCTGTGTGAGGTTGGGGCTCTATGTATAAAATAAGGTAAGTCTGGCATACAGATGTGTGACCCTAGTCCCCAGGGGTAGGGAAAGTCATAGCTCTGTAGTTAGGTGAGACAGCGGCTGCTGTATACAGGTATATATCACAGATACGTCTTGCATACAGGTGTGGTGTGTGTTTGGTGACCTTTTGTACCTTGATAAGTTATAATGTAATATCTGGTTGACATACAAGAGGTTTTCAGACACAATATTTGAAAGATATCAATTTAAAAAACTAAGAATTTAACTAAATTCAAGAAACAGGATTTGATTAATCTTTTCCTTTTATATGAGTTGTATAGGAATTGTAATAATAAATATTTTGTAGGTAGGACATTAGTTGCAGCCAAAGACAGTAAAGTAGGAGGATCACTGACTGACACAGCCAGAGAGGTACGAAGTTTTAACCTGATTATACTAATTCAAAGGTTGTTTATCATGCCCAAATGTGATTTTATGTATTAAATGTAGTGCACATGTGAAGATAAAAGATAGTGAAGTTTATACTATAATCTGTTAACATAACAGATAAAGGGAAGTAATAAAACCTGTACAATGTGACGACGACTATGTAAACATTACAGATAGAGGGGAGTGTATACCTGTATAATGTGACCACTATGTTACATAACAGATAAAGGGAGGTAATAAAACCTGTACAATGTGACGACGACTATGTAAACATTACAGATAGAGGGGAGTGTATACCTGTATAATGTGACCACTATGTAACATAACAGATAAAGGGAGGTAATAAAACCTGTACAATGTGACCATTGTGTAAACAAATATATATAGAGGGAATTTTTACCTGTAAAATGTGACCACTATATAAACTTTACAGATAGCAGAGAGGGGAGGAAAGTGTATACCTGTACAATGTGACCAGTATGTAAACATTACAGATAAAAGAGAGGGGAGGAAAGTGTAAACCTGTACAATGTGACCAGTATGTTAACATTACAGATAGAGGGAAGTGTATACTTGTACAATGTTACCACTATGTAAACATTACAGATAGAGGAGAGAGAAGGGAAGTGTATACTTGTACAATGTGACCACTATGTAAACATTACAGATAGAGGAGTGAGGAGGGAAGTGTATGCCTGTACAATGTTACCACTATGTAATCATTACAGATAGAAGAGAGAGGAGAAAAGTGTATACCTGTACAATGTGACAAGTATGTTAACATTACAGATAGAGGGAAGTGTATGCTTGTACAATGTTACCACTATGTAATCATTACAGATAGAAGAGAGGGGAGAAAAGTGTATACCTGTACAATGTGTCCAGTATGTAAACATTACAGAAAGAGGGAAGTGTATACTTGTACAAGGTGACCACTATGTAAACATTACAGATAGAGGGAGGGGTATACTTGTACAATGTTACCACTATGTAAACATTACAGATAGAGGAGAGGGGAGGGAAGTGTATACCTGTAAAATGAGACCACTATGTAATCATTACAGATAGAAGAGAGAGGAGAAAAGTGTATACCTGTACAATGTGACCAGTATGTAAACATTACAGAAAGAGGGAAGTGTATACTTGTACAATGTTACCACTATGTAAACATTACAGAAAGAGGGAAGTGTATACTTGTACAATGTTACCACTATGTAATCATTACAGATAGAAGAGAGAGGAGGAAAGTGTATACCTGTACAATATAACCAGTATGTAATCATTACAGAAAGAAGAGAGGGGAGGGAAGTGTATACCTGTACAATGTGACCAGTATGTAAACATTACAGAAAGAGGGAAGTGTATACTTGTACAATGTTACCACTATGTAATCATTACAGATAGAAGAGAGAGGAGGAAAGTGTATACCTGTACAATATAACCAGTATGTAAACATTACAGATAGAAGAGAGAGGAGGGAAGTGTATACCTGTAAAATGTGACCAGTATGTTAACATTACAGATAGAGGGAGGTGTATACCTGTACAATGTGACCAGTATGTAAACATTAAAGATCGAAGAGAGAGGAGGGAAGTATATACCTGTACAATGTGACCAGTATGAAAACATTACAGATAGAGGAGAGAGGAGGGAAGTGTATACCTGTAAAAGGTGACCAGTATGTTAACATTACAGATAGAGTGAGGGGTATACCTGTACAATATAACCAGTATGTAAACATTACAGAAAGAGGGAAGTGTATACTTGTACAATGTTACCACTATGTAAACATTACAGATAGAAGAGAGGGGAGGGAGGTGTATACCTGTACATTGTGACCAGTATGTAAACATTACAGATAGAGGAGAGAGGAGGGAAGTGTATACCTGTACAATGTGACCAGTATGTAAACATTACAGATAGAAGAGAGGGGAGGGAAGTGTATACCTGTACAATGTGACCACACCAAGGATGAAGAGATACAGCAGCTGTTTGACAAAGTGAAGAGAGAACAGGAAGGCCAGTTGGACATCCTCGTCAATAATGCCTTCAATGCAGCCAAGGTAAGTGGAAAGATTATTCCCATCATATCTTATTTTGATTATCATAATTGTGCTATTATAATATTTGACCCAATGACTTTGAATAATAACTTAAGAGTTATTCTTGTCATTTATGGTTCATGAAACACCTATTTTATTTTATTTAACAGGCCATTTTTGACCAGATGAAGGTACCATTTTGGGAACAACCAATGGATATGTGGGACACTGTTAACAATGTGGGGCTCAGGTAATATGTACTAATGTTCACCAGACATTAAATAATCATGTATATGGGGAAGATGGAGTGTCACATACTATTGGCAGGTGTCATGCCATGCTTTATATGGTAAGACTTATTGCCCTTTGTTTAGTTTTGATATATCGGGAACATAACATCCTTGCTATACTTCTGATCTTGAAAAGGCAAAGCGCGTTTAATTAATTAGGGTCTTGTGCCAGCTGTGTGCAGAGCTATGCAGTTTTGACACTGTGGATTGTACAGAGCAAATTTTATTATAACTTCCTTGTTATCTCACATACATTTACCAAAACATACTTAATGTAGACTTGATTGTACTTTTGGAAAGGGAGTGTCTTTTTCACATTTATAAACTTTCTGCATCTTGGGAAGGAGGAGGGTCAGTCTTTACTTAGCGTCTCACAAACCAGTATATATAAATTTACGGCTCTTTATTGTCTTTAGATGGAATTTTGTCAGAACATTTTCCACAAAATCTCTTTGGTTCATTTAAACATGATAAAAAACGTTTAAAGAATTATGCTCTTCAATCACTGATCAATATATATACAATGAGTCAATAAGGATACTACATGAACCAGGCATGTTTGAAGGGTTGTGTATTGTTCTGCCTCCCTGATACTCTTGTTTTGTATGTTTTATTTAGTATGTTAGTATTTTTACATAAATGTTGTGTTAAGTTCTTCGAGATATGTGACATCATAACAAAATGAGAGTTAAAGGAGAGTAGAAAACTGTATTAGCTAACATCCTTAAACAAATTCTTGCTGAGATAAAAGGGTCCAAGTCCAGAGGTGAAACTTTTTAAGTAGGCACTAGTTGTTTAGCAGATAATATGATTTTTAATAAGTTCGTTACAAGTGTTCGAAATATTTGTCCTGTAAAATCTATTCAACTATGTTCACTTTTACAAGCAGTTCAAAATTATGCAGGTAATTGGCTATATGAATTTATATTTAAGAGTGTCGTTTCAGGAACCACTACCTGTGTACTGTTTATGCTGCCAAGATGATGGTACCCAGGAACAGGGGACTTATTGTCACCATATCATCTATTGGTGGATTAACCTACCTCATGAATGTGCCATGTGGTGTTGGCAAGGAGGCTGTGAGTTTTAAATACCCGAGATATTTGTATTCCGTCTTTGGAGTAAATGGGGGATATTATATGGGTGTTTTCGTCCCGCCATTTGTGTGTTCCTCTGTTCTTTTATCACGCTTTAGTTACCGTTCAATGACAATAAAATAGTCCAATTTTAATAATTCATTATTCTCACACATAATGGTGAATCTCAAGCTAAGTTTCAATTTTACAAATGCATCAATCAGGGAATCTTTGTACACCTCTGTCAATACAATTACTCGTGAGAAATTTGTTAAAAAGAATGTGGTGGACTTATATATTTTATAGTTAAAAGAACATTTTACAGATAAAAGAAACTATTTCTCATATATTTTATAGATAAAAGAGATAAAATGTATGAGAAATAGTTTCTTTTATCTGTAAAATGTTTGAGAAATATTTTAGAAATATTCTCTTGAAATTAAGTTTGTTATCTTCTGTACCTGACAGTGTGACAGAATGGTGGCAGATTGTGCAATAGAGTTGAAGAAACACAACATAGCCATGGTCAGTCTGTGGCCAGGGACAGTCAGGACGGAACAGTCCAGTGTCATACTCAGTCAAGGTGGCTTTGATAACATGGTGAGTCACTGACATCAATACTGCCAGATGTATCACTTGGTTTTCAGTACAGAGGCAATGATTTTTCAATAAGACCTGTTGTATAACTATGCTTCTGTAGAGAAATTTGAATAGTTCATTAAAAGATGACTTGAACACTTGTGTGTCTGTATGGATATGTTCACTGTTCATTCAGACATGCTGTTTCCTGTGTGTTTGTATGGATAAGTTTACTGTGTATTAAGACATGTTGTGTGTGTTCTTGTGTGTCTATGGATAAGTTGACTGTTCATTCAGAGATGCTGTGTTCCTGTGTGTCTATTGATATGTTCACTGTTCTTTCAGACATGCTGTGTTTCTGTTTGTCTGAATTGAGATGTTCAATGTTCATTCAGACATGCTGTGTTCCTTTGTGTCTATGGATATGTTCACTGTTCATTAAAACATGCTGTGTTCCTGTTTGTCTGAATGGAGATGTTCACTGTTAATTAAGACATGCTGTGTTCCTGTGTGTCTATTGATATGTTCACTGTTCATTAAGACATGCTGTGTTCCTGTGTGTCTCTATGGATAAGTTGACTGTTTATTAGACATGCTGTGTTCCTATGTGTCTCTATAGAGATGTTTACTGTTCATTAAGACATTGTGTTTACCTAAGTTTCTGTATGGAGATTTTGACTGTTCATTAAGAAATGCTGTTTACCTAGGATTCTTTGAGATGTTCACTGTTCATTAAGACATGTGTTTACCTATGTTTCTGTATTGAGATGTTCACTGTTCATTAAGACATGCTGTTTACCTATGTTTCTGTATAGAGATGTTTACTGTTCATTAAGATATGTTGAATACCTATGTTTCTGTATAGAGATGTTTACTGTTCATTAAGACATGTTGAATACCTATGTTTTTGTAAAGAGATGTTTACTGTTCATTAAGACATGTTGAATGCCTATGTTTCTGTATTGAGATGTTTACTGTTCATTAAGACATGTTGAATGCCTATGTTTCTGTATTGAGATGTTCACTGTTCATTAAGACATGTTGAATACCTATGTTTCTGTATTGAGATGTTCACTGTTCATTAAGACATGTTGAATACCTATGTTTCTGTAAAGAGATGTTTACTGTTCATTAAGACATGTTGAATACCTATGTTTCTGTATTGAGATGTTTACTGTTCATTAAGACATGCTGTTTACCTATGTTTCTGTAGAGGAATGCTGGTTGTCTATGAAGACATGCTGTGTTCCTGTGTGTTTGTTTGGAGATTATTCATAAGATATGTTGTACAATACACATTTGTTTCTTTAGGGAGATTTTGATGTGAAGAAGATGTTTGTGAGAGTCCATTGAATATTCTGGCAAAGCTGTGGTTTGTCTGGCATCAGGTACTTATAATTATCCACCAAATATTGATAAAATTGCTGTACTCAATTTCATGATTTAATGAGCTTAAAAATACATTAAATTAGATCTGAATTCAGTGAAATTTTCATGATTATTAAAACTAGTAACAAAATATGACTATCCCGAGTTTCAAAGTGGTTCTCTCAGATAATATGCATAAAACATCTCATATTTTATGCAGTGATAAAGCCTTGATTCTAGAAGATTTTGGTTTTTAGGTCACCTGAGACAAAGTCTCAAGTGACCTGTTGTGATCTCCTTTTGTCTGGCGTCGTTCGTCGTGTCGGGTGTCCCTAAACAATTTACATTTTCGACTTCTTCTCCAAAACCCCTGAACCAATTTCAATGAAATTTTGCAGAAACCTTCCATGGCCAAAGGACAACCAAAATTGAGAATTATATGGTCCCCAGCCCCCAGGTGCCTGAGTGGCGGGGCCAAAAAGGGTCAAATTGACTAAAATTTCAATTTGGGTTATCAGTATTGGATAGCAGTTTGATGGTATGCACATATCAGCCCTGACTGACCCCCGGGGGCTGATGGGTGGGGCCAAAAAGGGTCAAATTGACTGAAATCTCAAAAATCTTCTACTCAAGACCAAGATATGGTAGAATCAAATACTCTTCATAGATGGAAGGGTCTTAAGGTGCTTTACCAAAATTGTGAATTTCATGACCCTGACTGACCCCCAGGGGCTGATGGGTGGGTCCAAAAAGGGTCAAATTGACTGAAATTTCAAAATCTTCTTCTCAAGACCCAGATATGATAGAATCAAATACTCTTTAAGAGTCTTAAGGTGCTTTACCAAAATTGTGAATTTCATGACCCTAGGGTCTCACGTTTACCCCTGGGGAAGGGGGGGGGGGGGNATTGGCAAATGATACTTTGGATATTACATGTTGATAACTTGATTGGAATTATAACCCTGAGTTGACAGTTTGATACTTTGAGTCAGCCCTACCCCTAAGGGCTGTAGGGCGGGGCCCAAAGAAGTCAGTGTGCTAAAATCATAATGTACCTACTGATGACTTTGTGTGTAATAGACTCCATTGCTACATTATACATCATAATGTACCTACTGATGACTGTGTGTGTAATAGATCCCATTGTTATATTATACATCATAATGTACCTACTGATGACTTTGTGTGTGATAGATCCCATTGTTACATTATACATCATAATGTACCTACTGAGGACTTTGTGTGTAATAGATCCCATTGTTACATTATAAATCATAATGTAACTACTGATGACTTTGTGTGTAATAGACTCCATTGTTACATTACACATCATAATGTACCTACTGATGACTTTGTGTGTGATAGATCCCATTGTTACATTATACATCATAATGTACCTACTGAGGACTTTGTGTGTAATAGATCCCATTGTTACATTTTACATCATAATGTACCTACTGATGACTTTGTGTGTAATAGATCCCATTGTTACATTATACATCATACTGTACCTACTGATGACTTTGTGTGTAATAGATCCCATTGTTACACTATACATCATAATGTACCTACTGATGACTGTGTGTGTAATAGATCCCATTGTTACATTATACATCATAATGTACCTACTGATGACTTTGTGTGTGATAGATCCCAATATCATGAAGAAGACAGGTAAGATCCAGATGTCAGCTGACCTTGGATATGAGTATGGCTTCAAGGACATTGATGGTATGTACTATATGTTAAACATTTTATGTGTAATTCAGCTGAAAGTCATATCCTATAAAATTGCTTGCTCATTATCATGTTTCTTGTTATTATAATGTTGCTATTTGCCTTCTTTTATTTGTAACTATGCTGATAATGAATTCCACAACGTTGACTACCAGAGTGAACAGTAGGTTTGCTATCTGACTTGATCTATCTGTCCATGTCATGCAATACTTTGTCTGTAGCATGTCTCATATAATCTGTCACTTCATTTGCCATTTTTTTTATGTAAGTACCTGTTGTGGTATTGGAGTGTAAGAAAGTGCAAACAGTTCTCCTGTCCAACTCTATGGTATAATGTCCCTTTGTTCAAAGCATATATGACATTGTCATAATATATACAATCGCAAATTTGTGTATGCAATACCTTTTTGTAACTCTTTGGATGGTGAAATAATTATGTCTTGGGCAAATCTCATATACTCTGTCCCCTATCATTTAATTGCCAGTTATTGTATGTGAGTACCTATTGGAAATGGGGAATTTTCTTACTTAAATCACGTCTTGAGGCCAAATAAATATTGAGTTATGACCCTTTGCTCAGTGCGAATATGATTTGTTCACAATACTTAACCTGGTTGTAATTTTCCTGTTTCTTGTTACATCCTAATATTTGTAACCGTCCATTTTGCTACATGTCACTAACCTGGGTCCAGTTGTTCAAAAGATGATAAGTTTAGTCAGTGATTAGCACAAATTCTACTTTTTGTGTATCAATCTTTAGAACACAATGATTTATTAGTTAAAACTTTCCAGATAAGTTTTTACCTTGTACATTGACCAAATTTTAGAGGTTGAAAATTGTCATTAAACAATGATTAAGCTAATCACCTTTTGAAAAACTGGGCCCTGCTTGAAAAAATAGAGCTCCTGGCTGTAGGTTTCAGCTCATCAGGTAGACTCTAATTAAGAACACACTCATTTATTAGTTAAAATTTTCCAGATAGCAAATATAACAGAAGAGTAAATACCTGCAAAATTACAAGTTTTTACCTCTTTTTTTTTTTTTTTTTAAATTTTACCAAATTTTAGAGGTTGAAAATTGTCATTAAACAATGCTTAAGCTAATCACCTTTTGAAAAACTTTTGAATAAATAGAGCTCCTGGCATAAGGGCTGTAGGTTTCAGCTCATTAGGTAGACCACTATTTGCTTATTGTATTAATATATTTCAGGTCGGCAGAAGGTCTCAATGAGGAACCTGAAGCAAGCCATGATGCTCTCACCAAAGACACAGTGGATAGGGAGGCTAACACCTGGGTTTATATACATACCTAAGTGGTTATTGGCTATGACAGGAAACAAATTCTGAGTTAATCCTGTACGTAGGTCATGTAAAACAGCATTATTAAACCAAAGTTATACTTGTTTATACTAATTGTGAAATGGCAATTTCAACTGGGATAATTTTACTGTTGTAAAAATGATTAAACCATTGGCTGGGAGTGATAAACCTGTTGTAATTAATGGGAGAAAAACTTTCAGTTTTAATTCTTTAACAAGTACTCATCTATACATTTTTTGTTATAAACAGACAATTGTTTTGTTGCCTTAATTAATGGTCTAAACATTCATTAACAATATGTCAGACAATCTATGCAAAGATTTAGTTGTAAGTACCCAGTATGTAAATGTTTAACACATTTTCTTCATTTACAGAGTAATACATTGTATAGCTATTCAGTATTGTACCCTTGTCACCTTTTATTTACTTTGTTTTTTGTACACTTCTCCCTTTGATCTGATTTCATACATTTCTCGCTTTGTTTTGTATACTTTTGTATTTGTTCTGGTTTTAAATTTGTTTTGTTTCTTTAATCTATATGGTTGTGATATGAAAGCCAATTTGATACAAAATAGCTATTTTGTATTGTCCATGTCATGATCGCCAGTTTCATTGGGGCCTTCAATTTACCTGATATTTTGCATCTTGATAGATTGTATTATTTATCTGTTGACTTAATATTTTGTTTGTTTTTAATCTGTTGTTTATCTGTTGAATTTTTGTTTTGTATTTATTTGTCATTTTTGTCAGTTGCTTCATTCTGTTGTAATTTTCTGTTGTGTTAATCTATTTATAAATCTGTTGTTTTGATCAGGTGTATTTATATTTTAATTAAGTCGTTGCCTTAATTTGAATGAAGGGAGACATACTGTTATAGTACTGGTTCTTCTTCTGCTTCTTGTAATATTTTCTTTCTTGTCAGGGCAATAAATTTAAAACCAGTAATGGTATCTAGATGAAACTTGTAGTATTCCTGTGTGATCCACATATCATGTGCAGTGCACTGTCAATTGGTCACTTTAACCTTGATCTCAAGGTCAAAGGTAAAATTACTGCAAAATTCCCAGGAACATATCTTGTCTGGGATGGAATGTAGCTTTAAAAACATTAAAAATATCTTGACAAATCTTGCAGCATATCTGCATCACCCACAAGCAATGTGCAGTGCACTCATTAGTACACTGTGACCTTGAACTCAAGGTCAAAGGTCTAGTAAGTGCCAAAAAGCTTTTAAGGTAATAGACTTTTCACATCATAACTTTTTTATAGCATTTTATGATTCATTGGTAGGCAGATCTTTTAATAATCAAAGATATTTAGGCAAATTTTAGATGCACAGTTATTGGCTAATTAGAGGATACATACTCACTCACAGTTTTTGTTCACCAAAACAAATTTCTAGTTGTATCAATAATAACACATTAAATATTTATTTTAAAGCAATGTCTTTTCTTGTAAACAGTGCATGATATTGGAAGAGAATGTTGGCATATTCAATATCAAAAAATAGATCTCATTTTTTCTTAAGGTTGTGAAGGTACAACAGTCATGTTTCTACCTGGTAGTATACATTAGTTATAGGTACATTGTACATGTGGTATTTAGTTTGGATAATGATTATCAGAAGTTACCTCATTAAGGATCCCCGTACCACTGCCAAAATATACAGATCTCACTATAGCTTTAATAAATCATTTCTGATAAGAAAACCATACCTTGCAGGACTTCTATGTGGAAAAATTAAATTAACAATAGTGCTCTCCGTTGAAAAAAAATCCCCGGGGGGCTTGACTGGGGTTTTAACACTGGACTTCAGATCGTTAAACTAGCGCAATGGTAGTGCCCTGGACCAGCTGTGCTATAGGTAAATTATAACGAAATTTAAGGGGAGGTTACTGTATAGGAACAAGCCATTTGGATTGATATGTCTTGCCTTTGCCCCGCTTTGACCATCAATGCACATGTCAAGTTAAGTTGTAAGCACTTAGAGTATCAGAGAAACTAACTTAAACGCAAAAACTTAATGTTGATGGAGATGCTGACAAAGTCAATGGACCATGAAAGGTAGGGAGCATCTATCATTTGATGCATGGGTTGAGATGTACTACCTAAGATGCATTTATGGTCCAAGTTTGGTTTGTCTAGCACTTATACTTGAAACTAACTTAAACACAAAAACTTAATGTTGATGCCGCCGCCGTTGCCGAAAAAGCAACACCTTAATTTCACTTTCACTACATCATGGCGGCGAGACAAAAACCACAGTGCAGTGGGACAGGGATCCTTAAGTATGACATTTGATGTTAAAAATAGTACGGAATAGATTTAGATTAGGTGTGTCAAGTGTGCCTAGCTGACTTGTGTCTGGAGTTCTAACATAAATCTTCACAGATCAGGTGTAGATAAATTGTAAAATTTATGTTTTATAGAGTGAGTTGAATACAAGAAGCTACGTACAATGAGGTACCAATGTAGTGTGTGATTTAACCTCAGGGGATACTTATTTTTGAGCTGACTTGATGGTTACTTTCAGTTCAAGATATTTTATTGTTTCAAAAACAAAAGGATTAGACAATAGGCTTCAGCCTTATAATTTGAAGTCTTCTCCCATGTTGGTTACTTGTGCCAGGTTCAACTTGTCGCTACAGACAGATTTTTTTTTTTTGCCACCATTCTTTATTGCTGAAATTTTCAAATTGCAACGTTCTTTTAATATATTAAGATAAATAGGTAGAAGGCTGATTTGATGGCTGTATATAGTTCTTAGGCATGGTGTACACTAGGTCGGGGAGAAGAAGTACTATGGTTAAGAGCAATGTATAGTGGATGGAAAGAAGTGTCTTTGCTGGACTGAAGACAGAGATGAATAGTTAAATCTGAGGGCAAGATTCGTAAAGTGAAGACTGAGGGCAAGAGTTTTACAATAAAGACTGAGGGCAGGAGTTGTACAGTCAAGACTGAGGGCAAGAGTTGTACAGTTAAGACTGAGGGAAAGAGGTGTATAGTGAAGACTGAGGACAAGAGTTGTATAGTGAAGACTGAGGACAAGAGTTGTATAGTGAAGACTGAGGACAAGAGTTGTATAGTTAAGACTGAGGACAAGAGTTGTTTAGTTAAGACTGAGGACAAGAGTTGTATAGTTAAGACTGAGGACAAGAGTTGTATAGTTAAGACTGAGGACAAGAGTTGTACAGTTAAGACTGAGGACAAGAGTTGTATAGTGAAGGCTGAGGACAAGAGTTGTTTAGTGAAAACTGAGGACAAGAGTTGTACAGTTAAGACTGAGGACAAGAGGTGTATAGTTAAGACTGAGGACAAGAGCTGTATAGTCAAGACTGAGGGCAAGAGTTGTATAGTGAAGACTGAGGACAAGAGTTGTATAGTGAAGACTGAGGACAAGAGCTGTATAGTCAAGACTGAGGGCAAGAGTTGTATAGTGAAGACTGAGGACAAGAGTTGTATAGTGAAGACTGAGTACAAGAGTTGTATAGTGAAGGCTGAGGACAAGAGTTGTATAGTTAAGACTGAGGACAAGAGTTGTACAGTAAAGAGTGAGGACAAGAGGAGTATAGTGAAGACTGTGGACAAAAGCTGAATAGTGAAGACTGAGTACAAGAGTTGTATATTGAAGGCTGAGGACAAGAGGTATATAGTGAAGACTGACGAC